TCGCAACTACAAATGAATCACAATACTGGCGTTTCTGAACAAATCTGTAAATGACAATGTAGAATATTCAAGACTCTTACTGTCTTAGTGCACTTGCCCTGCAACCTCGGCTGAACATCAGCCCTATAGGACCCTATAGACTGCAGACGGGGCCGTCTGTGGTAACGGTGGCCGAAGATCGTCGCTCGATCGCCGACGCCCGGAGTGTCAACTACTGCGACGGCTAGGACGTGAGGAGGAGGATAGCTCCCCCACGCGGTCCACCTCCTCCTTTGCGAGCATGACTGCTTCACAGAAAAAGACTTCCCAGTTCCTCTCGCTGCACATCAAGGCCTCAACTAAGGCCGGACGCGAGAGAACGCCACTATAGGTTCTAGGTAAAACTTCATAATATGAAGTATAGGAATGAATAAGTGTGGGAGAGCCATGCTTCGGCACGAATGGGTCGGCTCGACCGGAGTGATACCACGGCCTCACAGAAAACCGGCGTGAAATAACCACTGCGTTGTGTTTCGCCGTGTGAGTGAGGTTACCGGAGGCCCAATCCATCCCCTTCCCCAATCCCTCCTCAATCCCTAAATCTCCAAATCCCTAATCCCTAAAAGGTCGGCAACGCACTCGTAACTCCTCCGTTGCGAGTGTCCATGGGCGGCGCTGATTGCTTACCATCAGGTAATCCGTCTGCTCGTTTGCCGAGCTATTACATAAAAAAAAGAATAATAATATGAAGTATAGGATATGAAGTATTGGCATATTATTCCTCACTACGAAGTTTTTAAAAAAGATTCTAAATTAATAAGTTGTGCGAAAAGCGCTAAAAACATGTGTTAAGACTTAAAAAAATAAAAATACTGTTTGTTTTTCGAAAATACTGTTCAAATTTCTTCCCAAGCCCAAATATACTTTATTTTTTGTAAAAAAAGTTGGTAACCCTAGATAGGCAAACAATACTAAACTAAAAAAATACTAATAAAAGAAAAAAACAATAAGTACTTAGAGACCACAAACAAAATAGAATTTGATGATCCGTAACTAGGGCTTTAACAATACCAATTTTCATTACGTTTTACTTCGAGCGCGAAAGTGACCCACAATAAAAATAAACGATCCATTGCATGACGTAATTTTATGTAATAAATAAAAAGCATTACATCTTTGTTGACCGCAACGATTTTAAATCTGTCGCGGATTCGAATCAAATCAGGTTGGCCGCCATTTTGAATAATGAATTAGTAAAACAGATCTACTTATTTTTAAAATATTGATGACATAAAAGGTTGGGCTTTAATTGATATTTTTCCGTATTTTCAGTCAAGAAATAAAAAAAGTAGGTAATGATATTGTCAGTAACCTTTTTACTTATAATACTTATCGTTGAAAGTAGGTAAATGGCATGACAAATAAAATTTACCTAAGTATCGAATTTAAGTGCGGTTGTTATTGTTATACTTAATTCATTAAAGTTGTACGGTTGTTACCTATTTATTTAGTAGCATAGATCTGAGAAATTCTGTAACTATTTAGTTATTCCGGTAGATGGAACTGAATAAAAAACAATGAGCCTAAGTACCTTTAAAATATAGAAGTTGTAGTGTAAATAATTTGCTATAGGTATTTGGTAATTGATCCAACAAGAGTATTTAAAGGTGCAAAAATACAATACCTATGTCAGGATACAAATTAGACAAAAATCAATAATGGCAGCATATAGGTTCTCTACACTCATTTATAAAAAAGTAATTGATAGGGCTCTATGGTTCCATCATTACAAGTAGGAACTCAATGTAGCTCATACTTTAATACATAATATCCAGGTCATCTAGGACTACAGGGTAGGATTGACTAGTAGTTAGAGGACTAGGGTACAAGGAAACGCCGCCTCGGCCTGGAGCAGGAGAAGAAACGGAGGGGCTTTTAGTCAGCAAGAGTCTGACACTCCCTTTCGCCATACCCTCGGCGGGAGAAACCATTTGATGATTTTCTACTTGTACTTACCCAAAACTTGTGCAAAATATTACCTTCTTCTTAAAAAAATCCAAAGAGCACTTTCCCATGTCTAAACGTACACTAACAACAAGCCATTCGTCACATACGTTCATAGCTTCTTGAGCAAGTTGTAAGTCGGTCGCTATAAATATACCGTCGTTAAGTTAACATGAAAGTGCTATACTGTAGTCGCCTTATTGCGGAGCCCACTAGTCAACCTAGAATACCTTTTGCACGTAGCAGGACTAGCAGAAATTATTAAAGAACACTGATATTGGTATTGTTTAAATTAAACGCTTATCACACATCGGTTCAGCCCTGCTTAGTGCAGCGCCAATGATAAATCTCTTTAATTCAATGAATAAATATTAATATACTGTAAGTCGCACCGTACTCAAAACGGCTATTACGAGAATATGATTATAATGTGACATTTCAATTGTTCCAGATTATTTGGTGCTTCGCGGTGCTGGCAGTGACATGGCGAACAGCAAGTGGCCACGGCAGACTCATTGAACCTCCATCGCGCGCCTCCGCCTGGCGCTTCGGGTTCGACACACCACACAATTACAACGACCACGAACTCTATTGTGGGGGTTTCTCCAGGCAGTGGAACAAAAATGAAGGAAAGTGCGGAGTCTGTGGAGACGCTTGGGACGCACCGCCTCCCAGAGCTCACGAACTCGGAGGTAGATTCGGCAAAGGTGTCATCGTCCGCAAATACGCGCCCCAAGATTCCATCGTCATCAAAGTAGAACTCACCGCCAACCATAACGGCTTCTTCGAGTTCAGAGTCTGCGACGAGCCAAAAGGAACCACTCAGGACTGTTTAGACAAAAACGTACTGAAACTAGACGGTAAAGACGGAACCAAATTCTACCCGAAAGATGGGAATAAAGTATACGAGATGAAATACAAGCTACCTGATGGATTAGAATGTTCCCATTGCGTTCTGCAATGGAGATATATCGCTGGCAATAATTGGGGTTCTTGTGGAAACGGGACCGAGGCTGTGGGATGTGGCCCACAGGAAGAATTTAGGGCTTGTGCTGACATAGCTATTGGCGAACGCTTCGCCACTACAACCAGACGTCCCAGACCAAGTTATGTGCCTCCAAGCAGAAGACCAACGGTGCCAACTCCAGAAGAATCTACTGGAAGCTCTTGGTACGGCTTCGTGGTCGCTATCGTCACGTTGCTCGTTGCTATCGGCGTTCTAGCAGCAATCTACTTGTATTACTATAGAGGTGGCTTTAAGATTAAGAATCTGCTTAAGTCGAAAGTGCCACCACCTGCACCTGTCCCTCCACCCAGGCACAAGAGGTCGTCCCTATCGAGGGAACAGCCTCCAGAACTGACGCCATCGAAAATAGGGATTGACTCGGGGTTCGAGACTGTGGACCTTAGAGCTAAGTAGAGTGGATAGTTATAAGCTAAACTACTTAAGCTGCCTTTACCTAGTGATATAAGTCTTGTGTGACTGAGTTGCGTAGAGATTCGACTTCAGAACAAGTCGGTTCATAGGTGATTAACTTAATTTTAATTTTAGGTTAATTTTACTTTTGTAAATTATAGATATTTATGTTAAATTAAATGTTATCATTGAAGTCGTGATTTTATTTTACCCAATCATAATATTTTATGGATCACAAAGTAGAACTTCGTGGTGACCCGGAGGTTAAGGCACCCGCTTCTCATGCATGAGGGTGCGGGTTCGAAACCTGGCAAGTACCAATGTGACTTTTTCCGAGTTATATGTACTTTCTATGATTATTTAGACACCACTGACATACGGTGAAAGTACACATCGTGAGGAAACCTGGACTTATAACTTCTAATTATAAGTTTGAAATCGCCAACCCGCATTGAGCAAGCGTGGTTATTATTGCTCTAACCTTCTCTGTATGAGAAGAGGCCTTTGCTCAGCAGTGGGCATTTATAGGCTGATGATGATGATGATGAAAGTAGAACTTTATCTACACCAAGATAAAGGCTGCCGCGCAACCTGTTGCGAGTTCGATTCCCGCATGCATCTTTCTGTGATTCACAACTTGTTATTTAAGATCTTGGTGCGGTATGTGAAATTGTATGTTTGTACACACACCCACAATAAGGAGAAAATCCTAGAGTGTGTCAACGTTATTTTTAAAGAAAAAAAATAGTGTCCTAAACTGCTTTACTGGTTAATTAATACTTATTCACAAAATAATGTCCAACAATATATTAATGAACGCTTTTATGTTTTGATATATTTTAGCGAAAACGGATACCTATTTTCACGAGAGAAACTGCAGAGCACAGCGAGTAACTTAATTTAAGTAGGTAGGTATACTGGCAGACTGGGCGGCACAGTTGTCGTTCAGCTGGGCAAGTGGTTATTAGGCCACAATAGTTAATGAGACTTGGATTTCCACATGGTAAAATAAATTGCGTGATCCACATATTGTTGTTCCGGGGCTGGGAGTGACGTGTGATGCTTATTAATGCACTAATAATATAAGAGGTAATCAGATTGGCCTAATTTAACGCAAAATAATCACTGAGGATCTATATTATTTTGAGGAAAGAGCAGGTATTTAATTCAATAGCCAAGTAAAAGTTAATAAAAAAAAATTACAGTAGTAAGAGTTCAATCTTTTGTTAATCGAAAGGTTCGAAAAGCAATTGAAATGCAATGTATCTCAGATTCAATTCCTAGACGGTAAATGCATGATGTTGTCTTAATAGTCTACATCTACACAGTCGCCTCCAGTAAAAAATTACATGTATATTTATTTATTATGATAAATGATTATACATTAACACTGTAAAAATGGGTGTCGTATTTAGTTAATTTACCAATTACAGTTTAGATATATTGTGTCGAAGTTAAGATGTTTGTCTTTTCAAGAAATGAAATGTAAACAAAATAAGTATTAGTTCTTATAAATATTTCAATGATCATAAATAAATGTGAACAATTTTGATTGTCTATGGCTTTTTAAGGGGCAACATTGGTTGAAATGTCACTGTCAAATGTCAATACCACAGACAAAAATCGCAAAACAAACGTGCTGTGAAAAAGCCTAAAAAGTACCGAAAGGCAATTTATTTTGAGAAAAAAAGCATTTTAAATGAAAAATGGCGGTGCGGCCACAGCACATGCACGATGGTGGAATTGTGGAGCGTCGGTTGCGACCAATTTACGGTAACAACTTACCTGGAGCAAGGGTTCAATAATTCAGACAACCTCTTCACTGGAGGTTTTGTTTTTCGGTGAAAATATGTAGATTCTTGAATTTTCCAGACTGGTTGGACATTGGGAATAATAAGAAGGCGCTGCAAGAAGCTGAGAAAGTGCTTAAAAAAACTCCTACTTTGCAAGCGGCCCGGGCTTTGAAGGCCCTAGCACTTTTTAGGTTAGGAAAAGGACTTGAAGCGCAGGTAGTTCTTGATGCACTGGCTGATGAAAAACCGAGCGATGATACCACGCTGCAGGCGATGACGATATCCTATAGAGAATCTCAACAACGTAAGTATTTCATACATTTACCTTAATAGGCAATATAGCCAATAATAAAGCTGTTCAGTCACTAAAGAGATTCCAGTTAGACTGTAAAACCTCCTTAGAGGATAATATGAAAAAATATTTAGTTCAGCTTGGATATAACAACCTTTTTAAGAAGCTCCTTCTGCATAATGTTTATCTTTGTTGCCTAGCCAACCTTCGAGGATGGTAGATTAACATTCTTATATGAAAATTAATGAAAAATAAAACCAATAAGTGTAGGATTAAGGATTATCATTTGTTTTTCATTTATAAATTTAATTCCAATTCTATTATTCCATTTTCAAACTATTCTTAAATTATTCTTAGTGTGTGATTTAATTAGTGTTAATTAGTCATACAAAATATGTAGCTACCTGTATTACTTACATAATGTGGTTGTTACCTAAACATGTACTATTCTATCACCATATTACATGTTCTTGTTAAGACTATCATATTAGAGAGTTATTGAAATTATTGCTATAATGCCACTGAAATACTTTCGAAAGTTTGTAAGTATAAAAGGATGTTAGTTGACTTTCACATAAAACCTACTGAATAGATATTGAAGAAAAAGGTACACAATTAGATTAAAGTGTGGAATGGCAAATAGGTTACTTGTCTCTGTGTGTATGTGGGTGTAGCCACTGGCCAGTAACTATTTCAATTGTGGTAATTTGAGACAATTGAAGAATGATAAGTGTGTAAACACAAAACTTTTTCAGGATCAGATTTAATTTAATTCATCTTGCAATCAGATTATAACCAACCTGACAAGACTTTCCGTCTTGTCTTTGACATTTGGATAAAAGTATTGAATTGACTAGTTGGGTATTACCATATTCTAGCTAGAATGTCATATCAGTAACAGTACAGTAGGTACTGACCTAGTTTTCAAAAAGGATTATTACTGAATTGGAAAGTATAAATATAAAATATCAATTAAATATTTTTTATATAATACCCTACATAGGTATCATATTAAAATAAAAATTTTGTGTCATTATTTTATCAATTCACTTCTGATTTATAACATTGATTTCTATATTTCATTTATCCGAATTTAATTTTACTTTGGCATTTTTATCTGACAATAAGCAAGGGAAGACAGACATTTAAGCCAATTACTGAAAATCATAATATAATTAGGTAAGCCTCATGGCCTGTCAACAACATCTACCCTTTTCGGTAACTTGATTAGAAGTAGTGCTTCTAAAATCTAGTGACTGGGATCACTGGTTCAAGCGCTATTGTGTACCACAGCTCCAGTTTTGGACCAGGTAAAAAAAATGGAGTTGTTTATAGAAAGAAAGAGCATATCGCCCCAGCCAGAATTGAAGGAATGATTGGAGGATTCACCCACTCCTTTTTTTTGTACAGTGAAAATCATCAAATGATCTTCCGCCCAAGGTGAGGCGAGAGAGTGTCAGACTACTACTGACTACAGAAGGCCGACGCCGCGGTGCCCCATTGTGCTTACCCCGCAGTCCCGGCTGATCGTTTTAAAACTCAAAATATGTATGTTAACATATAATTTCTCATTCCTCAGTTCACAAAGTGTGCATGTTGTATGAAAATGCTGTTAAGTCTGAACCAACCAACGAAGAGCTGCACTCCCATTTGTTCATGTCGTACGTGAGGGTCGGCGACTACCGGTCACAACAGCGCGCTGCCATGGCGCTGTACAAGTTTGCCCCCAAGAACCCTTACTACTTCTGGGCTGTTATGAGCATTGTTCTGCAGGTTTGTGCCATGCTATTATACAGATGGGTATCTCTAGCTAGTCCCCTTAATCACTTGACCAATTGTACCAATGTGACTTTTTCCGAGTTATATGCACTTTCTAAAATTAGTTAGACACCACTGACAAGTAGTAAAGGAACACATCGCGAGGAAAGCTGGACTTATAATTTCAAATTTTAAGTTTGAAATCGCCAATCCAGCTTGAGCAAGCATAGCGATTAATGCTCAAACCTTTTCCCTGTGAAAAGAGGCCTTTACTCAGTAGTGGATACTTTTAGGCTGATGATGATGATGATGAATCAAATTAGTATTAACTACTTTAAGAAATGCTTCACTTAATCTATTCTTATATATTACACACATTGATAAAAGTATGTAACTTGTAGTGGGACCATTGCATCCTATTGCAATTATTCCATCAATGTATTCAATAGTGTAATTAAATACTTGTTACAAAAACTAGACATTGTATCAAGGAGCAGTAACATAAACATGAAACTATTTTATATTAAAAAATTCTTCTGCAGGCCAAAACATCAGAAGACAACACAAAACGAGGAATCCTTCTAGCTCTTGCTCAAAGAATGGTGGACAACTTTATAAGCGAAAACAAAATGGAGGCAGAACAAGAAGCCCGTCTTTACATCATGATCCTAGAACTACAAGAGAAATGGGAAGACATTTTGAAGTTCATTGAGAGTCCCTTATACTCCCAACTGGTCCCAGGATCCACAGCCCAAGCCTCCATCCCGTATTTAAAGAAGCTGGGACAGTGGAAACGGCTCAATGTAGTCTGCAAAGAACTCCTATGGGACAATCAAGACCGATGGGACTACTATGTACCATACTTTGACTCTGTCTTCTACCTGATGAAGGAAAATGAGGAGGATGCGGATAGTTCTATTGATAATACTGCCGAGAAGTGCCATGAATTTATATGCCAATTAGTAGAAAGTATGTCCTCAGGAAGGACACTTAGAGGACCGTACTTAGCTAGGTTGGAACTGTGGAAGAGACTGGCTGTTGATGGTGACCCTACGTCTTTGATTGGTAGTGGTTTGTCATTATGTGTGCAATATTTAAGAGTGTTTGCTAACAAGCCTTGTGCGGTGCCAGACTTGAGGCCGTATCTTGGAATGATTCCACAGAAGGAGAGAGAAGAAAAGTGTAGAGAGTTTTTGACCTGTCTTGGCTTCGATGAAAATAGTGAACCTGAGTCGGTAAGTTGTTCTTTATACGTGTTTAGTTTCCTCCCTCTGTTTAACCAGGGGTACCCCAAACTATACAAATACAGTAAACCCTTTTAAATAAATCATTATGAATTTGATTCATATCATAAAACAAAAATGGAAGTACGCAAAGTAAAAGCAAGTCACACAAAGAGTTGTTCTGTGCGGGAATCGAACCCGCACGGAACAACTCTTTGTGTGACTTGCTTTTCCTTGCTTGTGCTTTTCAGTTGTTCCGTGCGGGTCCGATTTCCGCATGAAACAACTCTTTGTGTGATTCACAAATTGTTGTTCCGGGTCTGACACGACACAGGAGAAAATCCTAGAGCGTGGCAACATATAAAAAAAGTACAATCAACATAAATATTAAAACAATAGTCTAGAATAAGAATACTTACTTATATGGAAATATACAGTTTTATATTTCAAAGTAAGTCATAAACGTTTATTGATAGTTTTGATTATCAGTAACCACTAAGATATGAGTTATTGTTAACAGACTGTATGACTGGTACAGTGTCGAGACTTGAGATAACATATAAGTTAACTTACTGCAAAATAGTAACGTCGTGTTTCGCAGTCAAAGAGGGTTAGACTCTAGAATGCATGGATTGCACGGTTGGCGCCGTGGTTGGCGCGACGGCTACTGGCTGCCGTGCAACGTGTCGCGGGTTCCATTCCTGAACGGAACAACTCTTCGTGTGATCGCAGCCATGATACAGGAGAAAATATTAATGAAGGGCAATGTTTTTTTAAAAAAAAACTCACGATGTCAGGCAAGTAGCGATAATGAGCTCGCTTCCTTCATGGATATTGATGTTGATTATAATATGAACATCTAAAAAACTAAGGGTGTTATAGTGAATAAGGATTCAAGGATTGGGGAGTTGGGTATAAAGAGAAAGGAAGGAAACTACTGGAAAAAGAACTAATAAATCCATTTGTTCACGTGAGGAAGCTATCTATACTTTTAAACAATAAAATCTTTTACCCCCAAAAGCTATACATTATTTAATAACCCTTGTATAATGCTAATTTCTCGTCTTCTTTCACCCCTCACCCCAGGCTGATGACATCCAGCGTCACGTATCGTGCCTCGCGGCGTGGCGACTGGTGGCGGCGCCACTGCCGTCTACTGGTGCCTTGGAGTTAGCCGCCACTCTCCGTGGACACTACTTGCGATGTCTACAGAAAGGACTCGTGACCTCAAACATAACAGAGTTCTGTCCAGCCGATAACTATGGAATTTTGGCTGTTCATCATTACTTTTATGCTGGTACGGTTTTATGCATATTGTTTTAATTTTGTTTCATTTAGGGCTGATTTTTCAATGGTCAGATAAAAGTTACCTGGGGAATAACTATGATGCTGTCGCGTCACAATGTTTTTATAAGACAGTGACAGCAACAATTTTATTCCTTAGATAAGACTTATTTGGCTATTGAAAAATGAGCCCTTAACATTTTTAACATGTACTGAACTATCTGTATATAAAACCCATTGCCTAGTAGAGTTCCCCACTTGAAGATGAAAATCTAATAATCATATCAGCCACAGGACGTCCACTGCTGAACATAGGCCTCCCCCATTGACTTCCAGATAGGCCGGTTGGAAGCGACCTGCATCCAGCGGCTTCCTGCGACCTTAATCAGGTCGTCTGTCCACCTTGCGGGTGGACGTCCCACGCTGCGCTTGCCGGTACGTGGCCTCCACTCGAGAACCTTTCTGCCCCAGCGGCCGTCGGTTCTACGCGCTATGTGCCCTGCCCATTGCCACTTCAACTTACTAATCCGCTGGGCTATGTCGGAAACCTTTGTTCGTTTGCGGACATCCTCGTTTTTTATACGGTCTCGCAAAGAAACTCCGAGCATAGCCCTCTCCATAGCGCGCTGAGCGACCTTGAGCTTCTTTATAAGGCCCACAGTAAGAGACCACGTTTCAGTTCCATAGGTCATCGCTGGTAACACACATTGATTATAGACTTTCGTCTTAAGGCACTGAGGTAAGTTGGACGAGAAGATGTTGCGTAGTTTCCCGAACGCTGCCCATCCAAGTTGGATTCGACGATTGACCTCCTTCTCGAAATTGGACCTACCTAGCTGGATCACTTGTCCCAGGTATACATATTCGTCAACAATTTCGAGGTTAGAACTCCCAACTGATATCGGATAGGGCGTGACATGGGCGTTTGCCATGACTTTCGTCTTGTCCATGTTCATTCGGAGCCCTACCTGTTGAGAAACTCTACAGAGGTCATCGAGCATTGTGCTCAGATCCTCCAGCGATTCTGCCATGACTACAATGTCGTCGGCAAACCGGAGGTGAGTGATGTACTCGCCGTTGATGTTGATGCCAGATCCTTTCCATTCCAAGAGCTTGAAAGCGTCTTCCAATGCAGCGGTAAACAGTTTCGGAGATATGACGTCTCCTTGCCTTACACCTCGCTGCAGAGGAATATTCTTAGTGCTCTGGTTTTGTACTTGGACCGACATAGTGGCGTTTGTGTATAAGCACTTCAAAACCTCGATGTACCGAAAGTCAATATGGCACCGCTGGAGAGATCTTAACACAGCCCAAGTCTCGATCGAATCAAAAGCCTTCTCATAGTCCACAAACGCCAAGCATAGTGGCAAGTTATACTCCTCGGTCTTCTGTATAACTTGCCGCAGCGTATGGATGTGGTCTATGGTACTATAGCCTTTCCGGAAACCGGCTTGTTCGGGAGGCTGGAAGTCATCGAACCTACGTGTGAGACGATTTGTGATGACCCTCGAGAATAACTTGTAGACATGGCTCAGAAGTGAGATGGGTCTATAATTTTTCAGTAGAGTATTATCTCCCTTCTTGAAGAATAGTACCACCACACTTCTGCTCCATGCCGCCGGCGTTGCTCCTTCGAATATGACGGAGTTGAAGAGCTTCTGAAGGACTCTCAGTACCGGCGTTCCGCCCGCTTTCAGAAGCTCTGATGTGATTCCGTCCTCGCCCGGCGCCTTGTTGTTCTTGAGCTGCTTGAGGGCCATCCTAATCTCGTATAGGCTGATGTCCGGGATATCCTCGGTATAGTGTCGGGTGAGTTTAGCTCTTGGATCGGCGACTGAGCTAACAGGTCTAGTGACCGATGTGTATAGCTGTCCATAAAACCTCTCGATCTCACCCAAAACTTCGGCCTTCGTCATCCTCCGCCTTCAGCTTCGTCAGCTGTGTTTGCCCAATAGACATGTCCCTAGCGAACACTTTGGAGCCTTGGTTCCGCTCTATCGCTTCTTTAACCCTATTGGCGTTAAAGTTGCGGATATCGTGTCGCATGGACTTCCATATTTGTCTATTGAGCTGCCGATGTGCTTTAGCATCGGCAGAGGTCTGGAGTACCATAGCACGTCGTTCTGCCATGAGTTTGAGGGTGCGATCGGTAAGCTTCTGCGGTCTATCTTTTCGGCGGGGTCTAAAAAACTTCGACCCGACCGCATGGACAGTTTCTACAAACCTGTTGCTAATCTCGTCCACTGACTCGCAATTCTCCAGGGACTCAAAACGATTCGATAGCTCGATCTGAAAGCTCTCGGGACAACCGATATGTGCATTCTAATAAAATGAGGTAAAATTAGTAATTTGAAAGTATGAATGAAGGGAGTATTTGGAACAGCTGGTCGGATTTCCAAAAATCTTTCAGTAGTGAATAGCTACAATATTTCTGAGTGTCACTTTACTATCAAAGGGAGCCGAGCAGCGGGTGAAACCGAGAAATAATCAACTACTCATTAATTTAAATTTCGTATTTCTATGTTCAGGAGTAGAGCAACAGAGCTCTGCGCCAATAGTTGAGGCGCTGTGCCTCCTAGAGCTGGTCCTGCATCACTCGCCCGCCAACTTCCACGCCAAGCTGCTACTCGTTAAGCTGTACCATTTGTTAGGTAAGTACACCAATAAGTTCCAATTTAACAATTTTTAATATGTTTTCTATCTCATCTCATACAATATACATACATCATCAGCCTATAAGTGCCCACTGCTGAGCAAAGGACTTCTCACACGGAGAAGAGGCCTTCATAAATAAGGTCTCAATAATTAGAAATTATAAGTCCAGGTTTCCTCACGATGTATTCCTCCACCGTATGTCAGTGGTGTCTACTTAATTATAGAAAGTGCATATAATTCGGAAAGTGACATTGCTTCTTGCCAGGTTTTGTTTTAATGAACTTAACTGGTTTTTTAATGAATGGTTTCTCTTTTTAGGTAATGCGTTAGCAGCGGACAGTATATACCAGCGGCTGGAAGTGAAACACATCCAACTAGTGTCGCTCGGCTGGCTGCACTGCGCGCGCCTCGCCCCCGCCTGCCTCGCCAGCCGAGCTCTGCAGCTACTCGCTGACACCAGGGCCTTCCTCAAACACCATGGCAAAGATGTAAGTAACTTCTGTCTGTATGCCGTAATTTCTCATGAAAAAATCAGTTTTTGATGATCTTTGATGTGATATGTTTCTCAACAACTTATAAGGGTAGAATTTAGCCGAGGTTGCAGGTGCTTACCCTTATTGGGTATACCATGGCCCGACGTTTTTTTGGAAGTCTAATCGATTTCAAACATGTCGAACTAGCATAGGTAATTTTATTAAAAACCGTGTTTATTCGCGCGCAAACTTCACTTGCGTGATCTAGGACTTGTGTCGCCATCTGTTGAACATTGTCGTAACTTTTACGTTGCCACGCCCCTGATGGCAAAGTCACGTGATTTTTTTAAATTATGTATTCATTGTTATTGCTATTCCGGTGTCGTCTAGGTTTTTACATATAATTTTGACGTGTAAAAGTGCTGTTTTATGGCCTACTAGCTATTCTCGCGCTATGTACGCTGCTCGGTTCCATTACATTGGACGCGTTTTATGGCCTAGTAAACAGGAACATTGTAGCTATCTATCAGTGAAAGAATTTTGGCAATCGGACCAGCGGTTCTAAAGATTATCCCCTACATACAAACTTACAAATTAGTTATAATAGACTTCTTTACAATATTAGTATAGATTTACAAAAACAAATTGTTGTTTCATTGGCAGAGCGTGGAGCACCTAACGTACGCGTACAAGTACGGCACTTTCGAGAAGCTGGTGGAGCTGTCAGCGTGGGCGGCGCGGCTGGAGGCCTGCGCCTGGGGCGCCGCCGCCGCCCGCCACCAGGCGCTGCTGGCCCAGCTCGCCGGCCCGCCCGCGCTGCTGCACCAACCCTCGCGACTGCCCGCCCAGCCCACGTATGTACCCCCGTCATCACTCACTCTTTCATCTTCTAACTCTTCGGCCAAAAAATCACTTTCCGAAAATGTTTTTGTTTGTAAGAATCTGAAACAAAAAAAACAATTATATTAATAAAATCTCATTGCTATCTCAATTTACAGCGACAACCGCGACCTAAACGTTATAGTAAATTATGAGCCGCCTCAATTCCAAGATGAAAATTTGAAGGCGCGTACCTTTGATCAGGAGGTGTCCTATCTTCGGCTTAAAGACGCCCTAGTGTCGGCCATAGCGCTATGTATCGAGCTGGCTGACAGTCGGCCGGTGGACGAGAAGAAGGGCCACTATGAACAGCTGAACACCTGCATAGAAGCCTTTAGTACTGCTATGGAGAAATGCCGGCAGTTGTACGCTGAGAAAGAAAGGATCAGTATATCTGCACCGTTCCCTTCTAGGATTATTGGTAAGTCATATAAGTCTATACTAATATTATAAAGAGGTAAAATTTGTAATTTTGTATGTAGTAGGTAATCTTTGGAACCGCTGCAGCGGTTAGTTATATTACTTTCATTGATAGATATAGCTACAATGTTCCTGAGTGCTATAAGCTATAAAAAATCACGCTACGATTAGATGGAGCAGCGGGTGAGACCGCGCGAGAGTAGCTAATAATAAATAGAAAAAACTTAAGAAATACTATGAAGCTAGTTCAATATAAAATATAATAAAAAACTTAAAAAATACTAGGTAGCTAATATAAGAGACAATATTATTGTTAGTGATGAAAAAACTGTGTTGTCAGTCGTGACTTTTGCTTTATGTAATAGGACGGTAAACTAGCAGATGGATTACCTGATGGTAAGCAATCAGCGCCGCCCATGGACATCCGCAACAACGAAAGTTACGAGTAAGTTTCCGACTTGGATGAATTTGTCCTCCGGTAACCGCACTCACACGTCGCTGTGGTCGTTTCACGACGGTTTTCTGTGGGGCCGTGGTATCACTCCGGTCGAGCCATCCATCCATTGACTGCTTTTAAATAACACTCGTGCCCCCACCTCTACTAAGTCAAACAAGAAAGCAGCTCGACCACTCTTTTCTTGAAATAGTTAATTCCATTTTGAACAACGTTGTGTATATCATTAGAAGCCGATGGCCATGTGTTAATTTTTAGTTTTTCTATTTTTATTATAAACTAGCGGCCCGCCCCCGCTTCGCACGGGTCCAACTATCTCGCTATCAAAGTGTCACTTTTTCCTAATCTTCCCCTCTACTTTTCTAATATTTTCTTTCATAAGAACCTTCTCCTGACTATAACAAACACAACAAAAAAAGAATTAACAAAATTGGTCCAGGCGTTGTTGAGTTATGCGCTTACCAACACATTTTGCGATCCATTTTTATATATAAGATTTACTAAAGTTAGCAATGAAATCTTTTCAGCATTTGTAAACTCACCGGTACCGTACCGGGAATTGTACGCGACGATTCTGCGACTAGTCGGCGAGTTGGCGATTAGTCGCACGACTGCGGCGCACGACGCGTGTCAAGCGGTCGCTCGACTATTGCCCAAGGCACAGGATCAGCTGCAGGATGAGATCGCAGTAAAAGGAGACCCGGTGTGGAGTATGAGGGACCGGCTTGAGTGCCTGTCTAATTATTTAGAGGTTAGTACGTTTTTTATGAGATAGGTCTTTAGAGGTATGAGAGAACAGTGTGGAAAGTTCCTCATCCTTCATTGAAAAGGGAGGATCCTCCGACCAGACGAGTGTTGTGTCTGGTGGGCTACTGCCCGAGTGACGATTGTTGTCGGGATTTTGTATCGGTTGTAATTGCGTTGAGAACTCTTGCTTGTGCGATAGATGTCGCTACGGGTCAGTAATAGGCCTCATCATGCGTTCCCTGCCTTTTTGGGGGTTTACGGATTCGATATGCATGGGAAGGTTTGAGCCCCCGGTCACTCGTACAGCGAAACACAACGCGTTATAGAATACTGGCGACCCACCCCAGCTTCGCACGGGGCCAATGCTGAAACTAAACTTGATCACGATTTATAGGTATTATAATACATATGAACCTCCCTTTTCAATCACTCGTATCTATTTAAAAAAACCGTATAAAAATCCGTAGCGTACTTGTAAAGATTAGACGATTATATAGGGACAGACAAAGCGACTTTGTTTTATACAATGTAGTGAAGCCGAATTCAGTAATTGTCGTATATTCACAATCCACAATCATTTAACTTAATTTTCTTTTCACAGTTCATAGGTATCATAACGTTCTTGCTGGGCGTCTGCAACGAGCTATTCTCGCCCGCTAGCGCCAAGAAATCCAAGAAGAAGACCAGCCACTCTCCAGATGAAATCAAAACATCCGAACTGTTGAACGAACTCAACAACGCCGTGCAAACTTCTATAACCTTCCTCGAACATATACTAGACGAATGGCCGAAATACGAAGTTAGCAACATGGATGAAATACTCGCCAAACTAACCCTAGACGACAAATACCAAAGCCCAGTAGAAAATAAACTAAAAACCGGCCGAGACGATATGCTAAACGACGTTAGGAACATTCTCAAAAGAAAATCGAAATATTTAAAGAGTCTGCTACAATGATGCCTAAGTGCTTGTACGAAGTAATTAAGTATTGTTTTTTATAATAAATATACATATCTTGTAAATACTTTCGTCTTTGCTGTACGCGTTGTTGACGCCGGCGGAGTTACGTCGTTGCGGATGTAACGCGTTACATCCGCGGCGACGTAACTTACGGCGGGAAGCGATGCCGCTTCAATTTTTATTGACATAACGATTGTTGTTACTGAATTAGTCAATGTATTTGTAAAAAAAACGTCCCGCACATCAGAAATATTCTATTGAAAAACAGTATATGATTTTTAAAATTTAAATAGTGTTACAGAATTTTGCCTTATTATGGATATTAAGACACGGAGTAGCATAATGTAAAGACAATGGTCTAGTTGGTTTACCCACAGCTTTAAGGCTAGGTCATAATTTACTGCCATGGGAAAACCACTCTTATTACTTTGGCGCTTTATACTGCACATGGCGATTATAGTATGCAGTGCGCCAATATAATCGAGTCTATATTTGCAACTAGTCTTCCTGTCTTATTATAAACAATAAATTATATAGAAATGCAATCTGTAAGTTTTATTACATTCTTTGACTGTTCGAGACCCGTATGCTTGAATAAGTTGATACTACATTGTCAAATTGATTAGGATTACATGTTTGTCGCATATGCTGTCCGTTTATGGGCCCCCGCGTGGCTTGAAACCGGTCGAGAAACCTGTCCAACTGTAACTTGATTACGGGTTAATTTTTCAATAGTCTGATAAATGTTATCTGTAGAATAAATTTGTTGCTGTCACTGTCTTATACAGTGCGGCCGCCGTATCTTGGCGAGTCTGAAGTTCGCCGTCTGTCTGCGCAATGGATCTTTTAGGAATAAAATTGTGTACTGCGCAGCTAATCGGCTAACTTCAGACTCGTTAAGATACGTCGCGTCGGCGGTATTGTACAAACATTCTGACGCGACAACATAATATTTATTCCCCAGGTAACTTTGATCTAACCATTGAATAATCAGCCCTAAGCTGTATACCTTAATAGTTAATTATGTCTCACGATAATTATAACACAAACAATTCTCAGTCAAATATAGCATAATATTGTATTTTATAATTTTTCTGATTCCCTTGCCTATTGCAAGGGAATCAGAAAATTTATAAAATACAACTTTATAAAATACAATCTTGTAGACTTGCTTTCTAATCCCAAATGCTTGTAAATACAGTTCTTAAATATACATATTCACAATTTCCTGAATGCATTTACTATATCCCATTTTTGTAGTAGAAATAGGCTCGAATTGTTAATATTCTATTAGAATTGCCAATAAGTGTTTTGGTGCTCAATTTGCAAACGACAATGTAGTGTTAAATATAAAAATAATTTCAAAATAAATGATGTTTTCTGCCTAATATAGTGTGTAATGAAAGGGCGCAATTGTTTGTACCTAAGAGTGAAATACGATTTTGTATTTTATAATTATAATTTATACAGACTTTTTTTGTTTTATTTTTTATTTGTTCACTAGCTGTTACCCGCGGCTTTGCTCCCGTCATACCTTCCCTACCAGCTACCTTACCTACCTACCTACCCACCCTACCCTACCCTACCCTACCCTACCCTACCCTACATAGTCTCAGCCGGGGTTGCGGGGTTTTTTTTATGAAATAAGTCGGCAAACGAGCAGGCGGATTACCTGATGGTAAGCAATCAGCGCCGCCCATGGACACTCGCAACGGAGGATTTACGAGTGCGTTGCCGACGGATTAGGGATTGGGGGAGGGGAAGGATTGGGCCTCCGGTAACCTCACTCACACGGCGAAACACAACGCTGTGGTTGTTTCACGCCGGTTTTCTGTGAGGCCATGGTACCACTCCGGTCGAGCCGACCCATTCGTGCCGAAGCATGGCTCTCCCACACTTAAGGGAGTAAGCGCAATAAGGCACCGCGACCCCGGCCCAAAGCAGGAGAAGGAACAAGAGGGTTTTTAGTCAGTAAGACGCTCCCTCCCACCCGACCCTGGGCGGTAGAAGTCATTTGATGATTTTCCCGGAGAATACTTCGAAAGGAAGCATTTTTAAAAAGTAATTTTGTATCCTTCCTTAATTCAGTGGCGGTCTCGTAGATCAGAGTAATAAACAGCAGAATAATCAATTACTGGAAGCACATGGCAGCGGAAAAGCAGTCCTTAACGTGGGGATAATAATCTAATGGTATTATTCCATATAGATAAGCTTGTTTACATCTAAGTTAGCAAGGCCATACACGCTACCAAGGCTTGACCCTTGCTTCTATTTCAAGTGTTGGAGAGCCATGCTTCGGCACGAATGGGCCAGCTCGACCGGTGAGATGCCAAGGGGCCGCACAGAAAACCGGCATGAAACAACCCTAGCGGAGACAGGAAAAGGATTGCTTTTCCTTACCAATCCCTAAATCACAAGAGGCCGGCAACACATTTGCAGTATCTCCTCTTTCGGTATTCCGAGTGTCCATGGGCGGCGTTGATTGTTTATCACCAGGTAATTCCGACGGCTCGTTTGCCGACCTGACATAGAAAAATAGAACAACTGAGGAGAGGGTATACCGCCTTGCAGTTACACCTGCTGAAAGCCTACATCAATCAGGCATTCCTGACCACCGGGTACCACTTGGGCGTGACCGTGTATAACATCGAAGGAAGGATTCAACAGGATTCAGGTCAACCGCATTAAAAGCTTTGGTGAAGTCGATTTTTTTTAAACTTTGCCTCCCACTCTAATTTTCTCCTATGTCGTAAGTGCGTTTATAAACATACACATCCCACCCAGATCGAAACAACTATGTGTGGATCACACAAACACGGTTGCCCAGCCACCGCGCCAACCATGTAGTCAAAGCTGAATCGCTGACCGTCCAACTCTGTACCGTCTCACATCTTCGGTGACTTTATTATGAGAATCAATAGGTAGTTTCCTTCTTTCAGAGCATAACTGCTTCTTAGTTCCTTTCGCAAGCCTGGAGTAGGAGAAGAATCGGGGTGGTTTTTAGTCAGCAAGAGTCTGGCACCTTTCTAGCTCACCATGGGCGAGAGAAGTTTATTTGGTGTTTTTTTTCTCTTTTAAATAAAAGGCCAGCTCTATTTCAATAGCATTCGAGTGTAGACGAGTGTTACATGAACGAAACATAGGGGGTGTCACATGAATAGCAGCATAAATTTCATTATTTTTAGCTAGAACTAAAATATTTTGTTGTTTTCAGGCGGACTGGTCAAACCTAAGACAGAAGGGTGAAATTATCTTTTAAATATCAACAGGTTCTTGCACAACAAGGAAAACAAACATTTTATATTAAATATTTATTTACAACTTGAATATTGCAGCGATATGAAACCTCGGCCACTGTACAAAAATACTCGCGACAAGGATTTTATCATTTTACACGACTACAGTCTGCTAGGAATGTGATGGAACATGGAACAGTTTGTGAATGAACACTAGCGACCGAAACTAATCACCAATCTTGGTACAAAACATTAGATTATAGATATTTATTATTGGGATTGGTGTATTAAGGAAAAGTCAATACTTTCCATAGATCCTTAATTAAAGGTAATCAAATACAACGATTGAGAAGGACTTTTGACTAAAGTTGTATTAAAAGTCTGACAAAAATAAATTGATCCAGATATTTTTCATTGAAAATAAATCAGCGGCGTCAACTCAATTCCCACACAGGGCACGGCATGGAGTAGAGCACTAAACATTTTGCGCTTTGGTGACGAAGTTTTTACTTGGTATTATGCTAGTAACACGGCGTAAATAAACAGTATTTTTTATGAAATAGTACTATTAAGATAGGTAATTAATTTCGGTCGTAAATCTTAAACACTGCGGTTACGTACATAGATTTGTGCTGTGCGAGCTGAACGCGAGACTACTTTGGCACAAATTTGAAAAAACCAAGAAAACAATGTGCAATATTAGCAAAATTATTTCTTTGAAGTTTTTTGATTACTGACTAAATTAGGAGGTATAATGAATCAGTTTTTTTGTATATGATTGGAGGACGATCCGAACAAATTTCGAACAAATTATTTGTAATGCAGGCAAGAAAATAAAAATTGATTCAGTACAGAGATGATGACTACTAGTTGACTACTGACCCAACCAACAGTAACAAAAGAATTGACTTCGTATAACAGCATACTCACAATACGGTAGTTTCCAACTAGTCAAATTCAATACTTTTATCCAAACGTCAAAAACGATACTTTTCAATGAAATTTGTATGAAAAACTGAGCTATGACGTCATAACTTTTTTGCGTCAAATAGCTTACTTATTTCTTAATAATTAACTAAAAATTAGTGTATCGATCGATTGATGAATAAAAGTATAGTTATTTTTCAATATTTTATTGCATTGAAACGTCGAAATAATTTATTTTTGAACAAGGAAACTACCCAATTAAAAATCTTAAATTGTTTTGCTATCTCTATATTGAATTAATCTTTATTTTCTGACCAGTAGATATATGAAATATCTAGTATAACAGTAATGTAATTAGCTCTGGCAGTGTAGTCTCGCTCGTATTTCCATAAGCATATAAATCCACATATTACAATACAATATCTAAATAATGCTAAGAAGGAAACAAGCAATAACAACAAATAAAATAATAATATTAAAATAGTTACAAAACTACGCAAATAACGATGAATAGAAATTTTTAATTGAAAAATAAAATTAAACAAAATGAACCTATACATACATAAACACACGCACGCACGCATAACACTCGCAAGTATTTGGATCACTTTATACATTCATATTTTGAATAGATTATTAAATTATTATTATTATTGTACAAATTCAGTATACTCTCAAGAAATATAAAACAAAACATTACCGGGTAAGTTCGGGTGAATGACCCAGCCGGGTCACTAAATCCAATACCTACCTAATAATAGATCACACATCAGCCGGTACACACGAGGGTTTGAAAACTAATCACCACGCTTGCTCAAGGCGGATTGGCGATTTTAAACTTATAATTAGAAAATTATAATTCCAGGTTCCCTCACGATGTGTTCCTTCACTTATGTCTGTGGTATCTATATAATCATAGAAAGTACATATAACACAGAAAAAGTCACATTGGTACTTGCCAGGTTTCGTACCCTCATGCATGAGAAGCCGGCTCCTTTAACTCTGGGCCACCACGACGTTTAGCCCCATAACAACAACCCAAAACAAAATAGATAAGAGTTTTTTATTTATTTGGAAGTTTGGATTAAAGTTATCCTGCAGGGCAAAAGCAACAAGAATATACGGTACAAAGCCTTTTAGGGTTGATTTTTCAATGGTTAGATAAAAGATACCTGGGGAATAATTCCTCTAATAACATTTATCTGACTATCAGCCCTAAATCTTCGAAGCTATCCGAATAGATGTACCGTTTTTTTTTGTGAGGGGAAAATCATCAAATGACTTATCCCGCCCAGGGCCGGGCGGGAGGGAGTGTCAGACTCTTACTGACTAAAAACCCCCCTGTTCCTTCTCCTGCTCTGGGCCGAGGTCGCGGTGCCTCATTGCGCTTACCCCGCAACCCCGGCTGAACATCAGCCCTTTAGGGCCCCGCCTGTGGTGGTCTATTGGCTCTTTGAGGCGCGTGCGGAACGCTACGCGCTGTACGCTCGGGCCTGGTTCTGGTCGGGCGGCGAGCTGCCCTTACTCGCCGACCGCAGACCCGCGCTTACGGTGGCCGGAGATCGTCCCTTGATCCCCGACGCCCGTAGTGTCGCCAGTTGCGGCTGCTGGGGCGTGAGGAGGAGGATTGCTCCCTCACGCGGGCCGCCTCTCTCTTTGCGAGCATGACTGCTTCACAAAATGAGGAGACGGCGTCCCAGTTCCTGGTGGTTCCCGGTGCTCAGCCCAGGCAGGGCATACCGCTACCGTAAAGAGATGCACCGTGCATGTATAAATAGAGGGCTTGTGCATTTTTTGACATAGGTTGAATCCAGACACTGAACTATTATAGTGATTTTATCGAAAAACTCACCCAAGACTTCCTTAGCATCGGACTAGAGAAAGCTCGAGTACCTATACCGAAATTTAAAAAAAACTTGTTGAAATTCTTGAAAGTATACATTGTACGTGAGAAAATCATAAGACAACTTTCGTGAAACAATACTTCAAGTTCAATCATATTTTACATTTATTTTTTATTTACATTCAAACTTTCAAAATTACAAGGTCTTGACTATAATACTACGCAATACTTGAAACCACGGCTTAGTAACAACGATAAACATAAATAAATAACAAAAATTATTCATAAATAATTTAAGGATATTATGATTAAATAAAAAACAAGAAAATATTTCTCAAAAGATATTTTTAATCTGTACAGAAAAATATCTTTTATTCGATATCATTGCACTTTTTTCAGTAACAATAAAAAATTATTCCCAATTTATTTATAATAGCAATAGGAATGATGGCAGAAATTTTATATGTAGGTACACCTGAAAGAATTATTTAAAACAATAGTTTTAGAATGACTTGTAATATTTAAACGCAAACATTTTTTAATGAAATATTGATTTAAAACTAACACAATTTATTTTGTTTCGCTGTCATTATCCCTACTATTATAATTATATTATTTATTTATAATTATGAAACACGTTACTAAGCCGTTCATAATATAAATTAAACAAAAACGGAAAAACATTATGCACCATTTAGACGCATGTGCGCATACTTAGACCTAAATCATAGCCTAGATTCGATATTTGTTTAACTATAATTAATTTATAGTGGTAACGGGCAGTCATGTTGTAAAAAAGAACAAAAAAATAAATAAACAGAATCTGTATCGTCTATGAGGAAACTTGACATTTGAGCTGTCAAATGTCAAATAAAAATATAATAATACCAGAGAAAAAAAGAAATTAATGCGACTTCTTACAATCTCTTTAATGAAAATTTTATATTTTTCTTATTTCTTTTCGAAATATGTTTGTTGTAACGTCTTAATGTTAGACGTGCTATGGTCTATCGATTGAGGTAGTTAACGAAAGGTGAACAATCTTGTTGTGTATGAGTTTCTTGTTCGTTCTTTTTCCAAACCCACAGACTGACACTGTATCTTCAAAATTTTGTTTGACGATCAAAAGTGCCTGTAAGGGTCTAATTGAAATAAATTATTTTTGAGTTTTGACTTTGGCTTATGTCTTTTTATATTAAACAGTCGTAAAGAATACATTGAAATTATTTAATTATTTAAATTTAGTTTATTAGCTAACATCGATGTGGGTAAAAACCTGATGGTACATATACAGTTCATAGACAACTTTTAGATAAAAAGACATGCCAAGATTGTTTAAATTTAGTTTATAACCTAAACTCATAGACCATAGTTACCATTTCATATAATGACGTCACAACACACAATCTCCTTCAAAATTCATAGACAAATAACATTTTTGACATTTGGAAAAACGAATTTGACTAGTCGGAAACTACCCCATTATTGATATCTCTTTAATTTAATTAGAGTTTAGTAAAAATAATCTGAATATACATGTTCATAAGAAAGTACAGGAATTTTGTTGCAAGTTAATAAATAAGAAAGTTCGACATCGACAAAATTTGCTAATGTTGTCATTACAATTTATTTAATAAAAAATTTGACTTGCTCCGTTATTTTGGCGCTAAGAACAGTGTTGCTATAACAAATTCATTCAATGTAATTCTCAAAAAAATAGCTTCTACGTAGAACCTTTTTTTATAATACACATAGTTAATATGAGACTAAAAACAGAAAGAGTAGTAAAATATGAGTTTTCATTTAATATTATATTGTTTGAAAATTGTAAAAAATACAGATCTCTTTGCGTGGTCGTCTCTAGCACACGCGCCTTCAGGTCAACTTAAACCATGCTGTAAAATTTATTTTTTATATTTATTGTTTTGATATAAGGTCGAAAATGTAATGAAAATAATTGTCCGTTCAAGGTAGGTTGACCTGCTGGCGTGGTCCATCTTATAAAGGGAAGACTAATGGGAATGTTATAATAATACAGATTTACGAAAAAATATATTACGGGACAATCAGACTCAAGTATAGGAAGCATATTTCATGACTGAGATACAAGTTTTCTAGACATTAGAAAAAATATTGACATGTTTTATTATGTCTGATGAAGTTACTGATAAACTGGTGGTACATATTTTGAATTCTTGACACGCTATGTACCACATAAATCTAAATGTAGAATGTATCTGACAAATACTATTATGGATATTTATATGAGGGTAGTGAAACAAACCCTTTCTTAATGGTAAAGAAAAATTCAAATTATATTTAGATATACAGTAACTTAATCAAAAATTATAAAACAGAACAGTCCTAAGTCGTAACACTACAATTTATTCAAACGTAACGTATTCACAAAGCATATTATTATTATAATAAACAAAATTAAATATTGAATAACTTGAAGCCCTTTTTTAGCATCCAAATTGTCCCAATTTGTAAAAGCAATACGGCAAACGCATTGACAGAGCCTTGACATATGTCACAACGGGAAAATAAGGAAAAAACGTCACTACACATTTTAACAACTAGTACTATGAAAAACATCTTTTTTACGAAAAAGTATCTACACCATAATTCAAACTTTCCTTCATACGTACATTTAAAAATGGAATGAAAAATAGTCTACTGCGTCGCAATATAAATAGCCAATCAACACTTTTAATTTTACACTTTTATTATTATGTATAGATATGTAATTTTAATAACGAACCTTATCACAATTTATTATGGATTATTTTCGTTTATTTTACATTTTATTTACATTGCAGTCTCGCCTTATACTAGTAACAACTGTTAGAATATAATTTTAATGACTTCGTTCAGTATTTTTTTTCATTCGAATTTTTTTTGAATCCTTATTAGGAGCAAAACTTATTCCCCATAGGATGTGAAATGTAAAAATGTTACCATCTGCAGGGTTAATCCCAGATTTTAAGAATATATTTATTATTACAGGAAATGTACAATTGAATACTCCAAGGATACTTCGTGGTATCCAGCGAAATTTCTATTTCGGTCAGTATTGTGGTCTAAAAAGCTGCCATCACACATTTAAATTGTAATTAAAACAAAACCATATACATAATACAGTTGAGTTCATATTAGTTTATCTGAACAATATTACATTCAAACCGTAAATGTTGGGGCAGATTTAACATATTGTGTTCGAGAATATAATGATGTTTTGAAAAAGAAAAAGGAATCTTTTTAGGGAAAAATATATTGTTTATTACAATATTATTTAAGAAAGATAGACGCAGCCGTATTGCCACTTCATCAAAGACTACATACCTAGCTAAACTTTACATGATATCTAGAATCAAAATCTACTAAGTCAACTTTACAACTAGCAAGACACACATTTTTACAATAATCGCTTCATCAAGGAATTAAATACTTTTACACTGAAAACTCGTTTTAAAATTACCATTATCATTCGCTTAAAGATATGAGCTTTGCACGACAAACAAAAAAAATAGAACCGGAGTGAAGTTATCTGCATTTCAAATTTGAAATGCGAAACCGTTGTTCACGGTGCAGAAGGGACCAATCAGGACGCCGTATTATGACGTCAGAGTTCACACACAAAGCTCAGACCTAGCGACATCTGTACATTGAATCGAGAACTAATGTTATATTTTAGGTTATATTACAAGACGAGTTGAAGTCGCTAATTCTACCGGACTTAATGCACTCAGTCGTCAGTTGGTCGTGCGTCGTTTACGCTCACTATCACAAAGCACTGGTACGGCCCGCTGGCGTACCTAACTGTCTTATTGTCAGAAGTCCATGCACTCAACTTACAGAGTATTGAACAGATCCCTCGCGTTATTCTTGGAATAACGCTTATAGGAACAGTCGCTGAATCAGCTGCCACTGGAATGGGAAGATTGATATTATTAGAATGATTGCTTCATAGGGTTTAACATCTAGTCACTATATACCTGTCGATTATAACAAATGTTGACAAATTTTTAATTTCAACGACGCTTTTATTGCTGCACAGACAATAATGATAATAATCATAATTTGAAAAAAGTGTTGTGTCTTTGTATTATAAATGAAATCGTCAGAAGTTGCTCTGCAGCTGGTATCGTGCATCAAACTTGTACCTTTTCTGAAGATGCAAGCCTCTATGAGTGGTGCAGATTGATGGCTACTAACCCTGTGATAGTTTAGCTGGCTTTGCTGAATTTTCTCGTAATAAAATTACCTGCACACAAGGCATAGGGTAAAGGAAATCTGGTTATAACTGACCTTCTGTTAGGCATGGCACGCCGCCTAGCAGTTTGGCGCTGGTGCTCGAACTCAAAGTCCTCCTCGGTGAGGTTGAGTCGTTGCATGTGGTACATGAGGTAGTCCTCTCCCAGTATACCTTCGGGAGGGTGGCGCAGTACTTCCAAGGTCTCGCATAGACCGCACGCTCGTTTACGCACCTTGGCCGGACCTAGGGCGCCGGCTAAGATCACTAGCGCTGCTTTGAATAGTACCTGAAAGGGTTAGATTTTGTTTAAGCCTTTGACTACCAACGTGACACTTAACGTGTTAATGGTTGGGTATGAATTTTTGAAGTGAATACCAATAAGATAAAACATCAGTTGTAAACTCAAATGATTATTCAAAAAGATTGACTGGTAGATATGACATAAAACTCTCTCTCTCTTTTGTTTTTCATGAAATTCCTACCAGAGATAGAGAGATAGAATACAATGCGGCGTCTGGCTGGCAGTATCTAAAGCTCACGTACAGGACATGCATAATATTGTTTCACTAATGGTGAATGTGAGTATTGATGTGGTTTATTGACATTCATGGAATTTTGAAGAACATTTCATGTAAGAATAAGTTCAAAATCAATCCCATATAATTGGTCAAAAATTCAAATAAAGCGAAACATACCTTAACTCCTTCACACAGGAAGCAATCCCAGACCCTGAGTAGACTGTCCCAGGGCAGCGTACGAGTGAGAGCGCAGAGGAACCACTCCGTGGCGTACAGCACGGGTTCCACTTTATGCTTCACCAAGTGGCGGTGCACTGCCGGCGCTGTGCGGCGTAAGAGGGCGTGAAGGATATCACCATCGCGTTGAAGGACCTGATAGAAAAAAAACACACGATTTTTATTGAGTGAGTGGGGTTTACTGAATAAATCTACCTGTAACCCGTTTGCAAATACCTTTCATATTGTATTTTATTGCTGACTAGCTTTTGCCCGCTACTTTGTTCGCGTGGAATTGTGACTTTCTGCAGATTTTTGGTTTTACCCATGTAGTTCCCTATCTCCCGGGATTTTCGTACCTTATGTCCTTACTCGAGTTCCAACTCACGTCCAATGTCCGTACCAAATTTCACACAAATCGCTTCAGTAGTTTAGGCGTAAGGTAAAGACAGACAGTCAGAGTTACTTTCGCATTTATTATATTCGTTTGGAAAAGAACCATACTCTACTTACATTTTGGCCATAATTGTTTTCGTTACAAATAACAGATGGCGCTATATTTAAAAATATATTTTCTTTTATAGGTATGCACTACTCGAAGATCTTATACTTCGCCCTGATTACTATGCAGCAATTTTTATCACTTCTATTGTGACTTGAAGAGATAAGAGGAGATAAAAACGATTTAAGATTTCTTTGTCTATTCTGATAATGTAATAAGGAAAAAGAAAACATTTTTATATGCTAAAGAGTAAACTATCTTACATCCTTGAATAGATAGTATTTTCAATGTTGTAGTAGTTGCAATAAACCGATCTTCTACCTAACTCCTACTACTAGTGTTAACCACACATAATGTTTAAACAGATCTATTTCTGTGTATAATTTTATCAAAATCTGTGTAGCAGTTTAGGCTACAAAATCAACAAACACAACAAAAAAAACACAAAATAAGTTATCTCACCTCAAGTCCCGGATTGTAATACCCGCTGAGGTACTTATCGCTGATGCTGACGAGGCACCAGAAGGCCTGGACAGCCGGCATGTGCATCAATAGGAAGGCGGCTACTGGTGCCTGCGCTTGGAAGTACCCGACCTTGGGGTTCAGCACTGAATACGCCTTCAGTACTGAGAACAGCTCCTGTTGTCTGCAATTTAAAAAGGATAATTAGCTTTGTTTGAAGCTTCTTTCTTAAAAATTGTCATTTGGATCAAATTGGATTTTCCCCTGTGTCTAGGGTGCGTTTAGACACATACAATTGCACATACACATCACACCTAAACTCGAAAAAATGATTCGTGGATCACACAGCGAACCCATTTCACGTTGCGCAACAGCCGTTGCCCGGCATAACAACAAAAAAATCTGCGTGTTTCGCTGTGTGAGTGAGGTTACCGAAAGCCCAATCCCTACCCTGCCCCGATCCCTCCCCAATCCCTAAATATCCGAAACCATTATGCCCAAAACTCCGGTAACCTCACTCACACGGCGAAACACAACGCTGTGGTTATTTCACGTCGGTTTTCTGTGAGGCCGTATTATTAATCCGGTTGAGCCGACCCATTCGTGCCGAAGCATGGCTCTCCCACACTTAAAACTAATTGCCGTTGTGTGTGTCGCTAGTGTAGTTTTTGGATTTTTAAAGAGCTTACTGTAGTATTTTAAATTGTTTTTATAGATGCAACTTATGATTGGATTGCAATAATAATGAAAGAGCCTGTAGCGTCATAAGGTGGCTATCATACTAATCTCATTTTCGTGTAGCAATGGCTTTTCCGAAACTCTATGACCTAGAGGAAAGGCAATTTAAACAAGGAACTAATATTGTAAAATTTAATGTAAACAAGACTCCAATGCACCAATCGAGTAGGCTATTCGACCATTGAGTTATCACCCCAACCAATAACAGACTTGTATAATAAAATTCAAAAATTTCTAGAAACATTAGCAGAACCGTTACGAATAATACCAACCGCATAACTACTCAATTAGTTAGCCTATAAATTGTTCTATTGTGTTGTAATCAATTACATTCTTAAAATGCTTTGTTTAATTACGAAACCTATATATGTATCATTGAATTAGAAAGTTAATATAACACTAACGGCCTCAACAACCTTAAAGATTGAGTGATTGAAGAGGAACGTTTATATATTTATAATAATATCCATTAAAAAGTGGAGGAATTTTGCATCAGCATTTTACCCGTACGAAGCCAGGGGGGTCGCTTGTCTATACTAATATTATAAAGAGGTAAAATTTGTAAGTTTGTATGTAGGGGTAATCTTTGGAACCGCTGGTCGGATTGCCAATCCTTTCACTGATAGATAGCTACAATGTTCCTGAGTGCTATAGGATAAAAAACATGACGCTACGATTAAATGGAGCCGAGCACCGAGCGAAACCGCGAGAGAGTAGCTAGTATACAAAGAATGGCTAAATGGCAGTTTCAATTTCAATGCCTGAAAAATGCCTATTAAGATAAAATTGAATACCCTACCTCCAATGATAACAATTATTCAATAATAGTACACTAAAATTTGAATAACGTAAATAGTTTTTGCCATGGCAAGCATCCAAAATCACAATATTGATGCAGTTGGCAACAGAACGAAATGAGAGTGTAAACAAACAATCATAATGCAATCTCCCAACTTATTTGTTCAAGCGGTCAAAATTGGAACTAATCTAAAATTTTATTAGAGAACGCAAGATTACGATCCCATAAACGACACTAGCGCCACTCGAAGTTGGCAATTTGTAACCATGCTAATATCAAAATTGTCTGTTTAATTGGCTGCAAATAAAACATGAGATTCGTCTACTTCTGAAGCAAAAGAGATATTACAGTCAGAAATAGACCGAAGCTACTATGAAATAGAACAAATTTTCCACTAACCCAAGACCCTCTTCTCGGATAAACATCTCATGGTAGGGGAACTGCCGATGCAAGTCCTTTCTGATATCTTCCATGCACTTCGGGTCTCCAGGCGCTTGCAGCAGCTCTTCGTATTCGTTCGGATGCTTTTCCAGCAACAGTTGCCCGCCACAGAGGTAGAGCCAGGCTTTTGGGCGAACCGATGCTGGTATACCTAAATGAAGATGAAATTTAATTAGAATATTTATAAGATGAACAATCTAATCAAAATCAAAGTCAAAATCATTTATTCGAATCTTACAGGCACTTTTGAACGCTTTAAGATAAAAAGTTTCAGTCTGTCGGTCAGTCGTCTTAGTGAAGCTATTTGCTCGTTCCAAAGTAGGTATAGATTCCGATGGAGAATACAACAAGCAAGAAACTCCAAAGTTACTCTTTTAAATCAGTTTCACATAAAGATTCTTTGGTACATTAGTAATTTAGTTCGATGATTCTTAATGAAAGTGCACATTAGATCATAAGGTTATTGTCCGCCAACGAAATCATCTGGTACATCAATTGTAATTGAAATGTAATCCATACCTAAAAGGTTCCCTGTGCATTCTGTGTCAGCATTCAATTTAAAAGGAGCAAGTTGCTGCCGTTCTTAAATATTCAAAAGTACTGAAATGACTTCTCCAGTCTATATTTAAATTATTAGCCAGGGTTGGGGGTCAAGACCAATAAGGTTCCGCGGCCACAGCCTAGAGCAGGAGAAGGAACGGAGGGGTTTTTAGTCAGTGAGAGTCGGACATAAAACAGTGCTTCCTTGTGAAATCCTATAACGAGTTTCTGTGATTTTTGGCATGATCTTAACTACTTCATTATTTCATCATCAACAACAGAAAAAACGCAAATAATGACTGGTGTTAATGAATGCCAGACACGACACTAATTAACGATGATAAATTAATCGCAAGTGACTAATCATTCACGTTTTATATACAGCTTCGCCTCCGTGATCAAAATTTAGCCTCAACCTTTTTGAGGAATCATCTATCTAATGGCGAAAACGTCACGGAAATTCGTCCAGCAGTTTTTGAGTTCAGCGCGTACATACACCACAAACCGACAGACAGAAAGACGCGAAAGGTATTTTTAATATGTAAGCATTAATTTTCTATTAAGATGGCATTGTATTATTCTCACCTTTTCGACACCTCTCCCTGACCTTCTTGTAGTTCTTGCTCATAAACGCCTCCCAATTGTTGAGCATGCGCAGCCATTTTTGTTCCCTCTTCAGTATCGTGCTCGGCGAAACAGTCCTTTTGCTGTAACAAGAAAAAGTTTTTATGTAAACATTACATTCACGAATTTCATATCTGTATTTGAATTGTACATTGGTTGGTTCCAATTTATATTTACCTAAGTACATGATAATCGGGTGTTAAAAATACAAATAGTGTTATGTTTACTAAACCTATGAGTTAATTTACTTTAACTACACGACGTGAAACATGCACAGCGTTGTGTTTCGCCGTATTCCTTTCCTAATCCTCTAAAGCTCGGTAACGCACTCGTTAGTCCTCTGGTATTGCGGATGTCCATTTGAGGCGTTAATTGCTTACCATCAGGTTTGTGGGTCAAGCGCAGTTAGGTACCACGGCCTCGGGCTAGAGCAGGACAAGAAATTGAGTGGATTTTATCCAGCAAGAATCTCACACTCTCTCTCTCGCCTCATCCTGGGCGAGTGAAGACATATGACCATTTCCCCCCTCAAAAAAAAAGTAGGAAATCCGTCAGCTCCTTTGCGGTCCGATCACATACAAAAAAAAAACATTTAAATGAAAAAAAAACTACAACACCTAACTTCTTCTAAAATCCATTACAGATACTTTTTCAGCGATATCGATATGTCTATTTAATGTTAGTTGTGTATCAATGAATCGCTTCAATGATCTTGTGCAATCATTATCACTGGTTACTCAATCCAAATTGTTACTTAACGTAGACGTAACATTGTCCATTTTATTGTGAATCTCGATAAAAACTTAACATTTAGCAGTCAGAATTAATTTACAAGTGAAGACTTTTATTAGAATTGATGGTTTCTTTTAGTGGCCAGTGATCTAGTTAGATAATCGTGTTAGGAAAGGGTTTGGTCGAATCTTCTCGAACTTTTCTCTCTTGCTCTAGCTCTTGTAGTATGCCTTATAGGCCTATGAAATTAGGCTTTATAGGCCTAATTTCGGACTTATATAAAAATAAGAGGAATTTATTATTATAACTAGGTTTTTCCAAAAAGGTTAAAAAACTTTCTAACCTTTGCCTATATGTAAGAAGGACGTTCTTAATTTTTGTTGTCAACTAGATTGATTAGCTATACAATCAACGGCCTGAATAACTAATTGTTAGATTGAATGGCAAAATTTATGTTTCAGTACACTTTTCGTAACTGTTTATTTGTGATAACTAACCTAACCTGCCATTCTGGTAGCAAGTTTGTTTTCATAAAAATCCCTTCCCCTCTCCCTTGAGCTTAGCCTGTAGCCTATTCGAATTATTGTACCTATTATTTTTGTTGAATTGCTTGCACCACATGCTAACCAACATTCAAAACGATCATCCATAGACGCGAATATCGCAAAAATTCAAACTATTTTAAAAAAAAGATTGATACATTCCAATGTGCCAGTCATTGAGTTGAGCCTGGCAAGTAAGAATTCTATATAGCCATGGAGGAAATAAAAAAAAGCACGTTCATAGTCGCCGGGCGTTGAAATTAGTTGCGGCATGAAACGCCGGACGCGCATTTTTTACTTTGACATTCAATCTCCGCTGGTAAGGAAGGAATTTTCTAAAGAAACTTTGAAACTATGAAGTAAATGGACGCCAAATAAACCTGTCGAAGTTTATATTAAAAGAAATTTTATGTTACGGATAAAGTTTCGTTAGGAATATCTAAAAGGGAGTAAATTTTTCGCGAGTTGAAACTGTTTTTAGATGAACAGAGATAAGTTAATGAAAGTGGTCATTAAGAAATGACACAAGTTATTATATTTTGCCTTTGAATAGAAAGAGTCAACGTTAATAAAAGTTAACTACGCAACATACAAACATGTCACACTAACTTTGAGCGTTTGAGGTTTAAAAAAGATCCAATAAGTACTAGACCTCCTTTTTTGAAGTCGGAGAAAACATTCGAATGCCCATATCTCCGTAACTCCTGGTATTGCAGGCATCCATGGGCGACACCGATTGCTTACCATCAGGTCTCACAAAAAAGAGTAGTCAACATACAAAAATTTTAAGCAAAAGCAATTCATTAATAGCTAAAACTCTATCTACCGTTTATTTTTAATGAGTTACTCTCAAAAAAATTTATTGTAGAAAAAGTACAGATTACATTTGAATGTGCAGCTCTGTTAAGCATGAATTAAATACTGAAAAATATATTTTACTTTTATTTTCTGTCACCGTCGTTGGCGGTAGTGAAAGTTAACAAAACAGATGTACCTGTTTTGTATACGATGACATTAGCAGAATTTATTGTAAACTAACAACTCGTATCTTTATAGCGCGTTTATCAAAATGGCACACTAGTCACTAGACACGCATAAACCAGGCCATTTTGGTGCAGTGCAGAACCATTGTACGGTACAATTTGAACCTAACTTAGAGGTTCTGTGTAACTATGAAACAGATCTGGTTGGAAGTTTGATCAAAGTCAAAGTTACAAAGTTAAGTGTGAGAGAGCCATGCTTCGGCACGAATGGGTCGGCTCGACCGGAGTGCTACCACGGCCTCAAAGAAAACCGGCGCGAAACAACCGCAGCGTTGTGTTTCGCCGTGTGAGTGAGGTTACCGGAGGCCCAATCCTTCCCCTTCAGCAATCCCTCCTCAATCCCTAAATCTCCAAATCCCTAATCCCTAAAAGGTCGGCAACGCACTCTTAACTCCTCCGTTGCGGGTGTCCATGGGCGGCGCTGATTGCTTACCATCAGGTAATCCGTCTGCTCGTTTGCCGACATATTACATAAAAAAAACATCATTTAGATGATCAAAGACACTTTAAAACGTCAAACACAGTGTCAAGTGTCTCTACTTTCAAATTGTAGATTCTTGTGAAGGAAAACGAGGGAGAAATCCCATGGCTACTATTCCATCTTAACTAGTCTTTTTATGGGGGAATAATCATTCAATAACTTCTCCCGTACCTGGGTAGGGCTCTCTTACAGACTAAAAAGCACACTATTCCCAGGCCTCTGTATGAGAGTGCGGTTGGCTCGAAACCTAACAGCGGACTGTAATGGGCTGTGTCAACCACATTATAAAACTCATCTATTTGAAGTAGATATCCGAGGAACCAAATAACGTTTTTACATTTTCGCGAACATTAAAAGTGACAACAGCATTATTCATAAACATATCCCTCCTTATTACAAAACAAGATTTATCTTTTGTCCAGGTTTAAATCCTTGAGTCGGGTTTTGAATTTTGAATCTTATTGTCATCTACCTTTAATTCGAAATACAAAAACTGGCTCAATGGTTTAGTCCTAGACTAAAGTAAAACCTTGTTTTGTAATAAGGCCGAATAATGTTTCCTTAGTGTTATTTATAGCATGAGACCACGCTATCCCGCTGGGTGTACTGATAAAGAACTTATCATTGTATCAAAATCGTTTGATATGATAACGAAACTGGGTCTCATTTTATTTGTTGAATAAAACTGCAGATTTTTTTACTATGACACAATACATACGTGTACTGGTGAGAAATGGTAGAATTAACTTTATATTTTTGATTACCAGATTTTGTCTTTGGTTGAATGACATGAATAATGTCTGATGTCTCGAAAAAATGTGTTTTTATACGATGAGGGCCAAATACGTAGACCTATCATCTGATGAGAAGCGATCAACGAAGTTCATAAGGTTTTCTATTATGTGTCCATAGGTGCAAACTAGAGTAATTACAGGTGCATTGGAGAAAACACAACAGTTGAGATTTGTGAAATATTAAGTAAAAATAATAACTAAGCCAACTAAATATTGATTAGGTAAATATTTATAAGAAAAATGGCATTTAGATGAAGAGACCGTCACATTAATAAAATAGATTGTCGGCTGACATTAAGAAACGAATCTAATTTTTTTCTTTCCTTAAAAAATTCAGCACCTAAACATTAAAATAATATACGAATATGTCAAAAAAAAATTTCAAACAGTCGGATACCCGCACCGACCTTAGTGCAGCTCTAATTAATCGCCAACAACCTTGAGCAGAGGTCAGTAAACTGATGGTATTTGACCTCTCAATTACTTGTGAAAATGCATTCGCTTTGCATAAGTCGGAAGATGGACTGGATGATAATAAAATTTTTTCACGATAGAAGTTGCTAAAGCGGAACCGAGGGGATGATGACGATACAGTTAAGTATTTTCTGGTAACTACTACTTGTATGTTAATTATATAAGTTATTGTTCTTTCGCGTCGTAACGGTAAAGCAGAATATGTTAGCTTAGAAGACCCCCAGTCTTCCCGGGATACCATCAGAGCCAGGTAGGCATTAGTGCTCGTGTTTGATGTAATAAAAATACAACTCCAAGTTGCGTTGTACAGAATATCAGAGACATGGACACTTTTCATAAGGTAACCAACAAAACTGACCGGACAATGTTAAAAAATCTCTAAATCCATGAACAAAACACGAAAACGCAATAACACCCAGTAGTCCTAGGAATCTGCTGATAATAGTTCCAATGCCTCAACAGCTTTTATCACAAACGTAGAATGATGTCATAATGTAAGGCGATACATTCAACTCACTGGGGATTGCTAAATGATGACTAAGACTTACTAAAAGCAAATGTTGAGTGGAGAAGTCGATTATTGGAAAAATCATAGACAAGGAACAAGAAATTAATATGTAAGGTGTAAAGGATCTAAGAAACAAACAGAAAAAACATAATGCTATGACTAGAACGAAAAATACTACATAAATAACTTTAAATGATCAAAAAGAAACAAGTGTACACCGTAATCAAGACAATACAGAAGACGGTTATAATAACGGCTTCAAAGTTCATAAGCTAAATCTGATTGTTGATACGACTATCGATAACAGACTAACATATAATATAAACTTTTCACATGACCTAAAAACAAAAACAAGTGTAGAATTAAAAACAAAACAAGAACTAGAACAAAACGATAGCCTGTATACATGTAATGGTTTTGGAAACAATAATGGAACGATAATAACAGCAGCTCGGCAGTATGATTCAGTTGTGCAAAGTAATCGAAGGCCGTAACGTTACGCCATCGCCATGCCTGTGTTTCAAGCTCAATAAACTCTGTCAAGCCAACGCTACGTTCGGAATGCTGACGCTAATATTACTACTACGTATTAAGGAAAATTCTAATTCGGAATAAACCTCAAAAAAATAACGATATTTTCAAATACATTAATGTTTCTTTTCGATATTGCGTCACAGGAAAGGATGTGACTGTTTTAATATATTTTTTTTTGTCCAATATAGTAAAGTTTTTGCCCAAAATTATACTATTGACGATTTCAAATTTAATGATGATTTTATAAATGGACTTAAAAAATATTACTTGACAGTAAACAAAATAAGCAGGTAGGTACTACAATCTTATTTACTTAAATATTGTAAAGTTACAGCTTATCTTAGTGCCATAAAAATCTGAATAGAATAATGCCTTGACCTAGATGAAATATCACAAAAGTAATCAAAATATTTTCATTTATTGAAGAACCAGATTCCATGCCATAAAAAACCTTAATCAATAGAAGATACAGGATAATCCTCGTAACTAGTTTCTGTCAAATTCGTCCGCAGCACCAGAAACAGTAGCCTATTTGTTTTTTATAACAATCTATCGCTTATCGAAATTTAATTCAGTTACTTTCAGTAGTATTTTCTTGAAAGTGTAACAAACAGCCGTAGATACAGGTTTTGTTAATATTAATAGGATTAATCCAACCAACAAAATAGCAATTAAAGACTTGAAATGTGCCATAAAATATGATCCAGGCATTACGTAACATGAGGAAGTAGGTACATATAATGCGTATTACTGCTATTACTGTTGTCGTACCAGAGCATTATTCTTGTATGGCACGTAATCAGTGTAATGGGGTTCATTACACGGGCCCCTATTGTTTATGGGACGAATGGAACGTGCCACATCCAGCCAGCCTTTGTGTGCATTCCATTTCATTTCGCACTTGGGATTATGCAAACGGTTTTCTTCAGCCTGTAACTTAACGTCTTTAAACGGATCGTTATTTATAGGCACACCTCTGACTCCTTTCAAAGTTATTTTAAGTTCATCCGGACTCACTATGTCTATGTTGTTGACTGATGGGTTTACGGCTTGTAAAACATTGTTATTTTTAGACTCCTCATCTCCCATCTCCGTTCATTGACAACACGGTTAGGAGACGAATTGGTGAATTGGTTGAGTGGGCAAAACGGATATGCTGATTGGCCATTACATTACTCTAACTGCTTCCTAGGTTTTTGAAACAAGATGAGAATTTATTGACTTTATATTGGAGAAAAGGATTTTAAAATTCTAAGGCAGAGAAGTACCATTTTCTGGAAGTTCTAAGAGAAGTAAAGTAGGTTTATTTAGCAATACGAATTTGCCAACATTCATGAATGTGTAACAAAACATTAATCTCATATATGTATGTATAAGTATGAACATAGCTTGCATTATTGTGTAATGGGCTCAAGCCACGCAGGTCGGATTTTCAATGACATTCGCAACGCTTTACAATTTCATATTAGTTATTGTGTTTTGGTTACATGGCAGCACTTTGTGGACTATAGAATATATACTATATAATTGAAGTAGATAGGTAAATAAATTTAACTGTAAAGTAACAGATAGTAACTTATCAATTTACATTCGTATGAAAGATTAACTTGTATTAGCTCTTATGCAAAAAATCTATAAAAGTTTTGTTTATGTAATAGATCGGCAAACAAGCTGACGTATTACCTGATGGTAAGCTATGGACACGAGTGCGTTGCCGAGTTTTTGGGAATTAGTGTTTCAGCGATTTTGATTATTGGGGAGGGATAGACGGAGGGAAAGGATTGGGCCTTTAGTAACCTCACTCACACGGCGAATCACAACGCTGTGGTTGTTAATCAGTGAGGACGTGGTGGTCCGGTCGAGTAGAGCCATCCGGCAAGAAGTTTGGCTCTCCCTCATTAAAAATAAATCTATACATTTCCTATTAAAACTTTACATTTCCAGTCAGTTTAATAACAGGTATAGTTTATGGGTTTCTAATAGGCATCGTTGAAAAAGTGTTCGAAAAAGTCTTACACACACAAAAACCTAAAACCGAATACTTTTCCTGTTTTCGATACATATTTGAACTAGTTATGTTGTTGCCTTTCGCATGAAAGATATGTCCAAATGTGGAATAATTTCATACATATATGTATTCATAACATACGAAGTAGCACAGCTATTCAATTGTTTCGTAACTCGTAATCGTGTAATGAGGATCATTACATTGTTTATTTGGTGGGCCCCGACCACGCAGGTTTATGATTGTATGCATCCTTCATGGTGTACAATGAACGCCGGTTCAAGAGCAATGGAGACTGCGGCCTCGGCCTGAAGCAGGAGAAGGAACGGGGAGTATTTAGTCAGTAAGAGTCTGACATTCCCTCTCGCTGTACCCTGGGCGAGAGAATTCGTTGGATTATTCTCCAGCCAAAAAATAATGGTGTCTAATAAAAACATTTTTACTACACAGCTTGAACTGTTCGCACAGGTGCAATTAAGTTTGTTTTTCTCTGTATAATATTTCCACGTTTTCTTTAATAAATAAAACCTTGTCCTTAATCGTGTAAATAAAAAATAATTATCCAGTCATTCTCAAGTTATGGCGAAACAAATGGAAATAAAAATAATAAATTGTTTTCCTTTTTCTACATTCGCCATCTAAATGTAACGACTGAGCATCGAACTCGGTAATTCAGATAACAGGTTTAAGCGCGATGGTATAGTAGCGGAAATTCAGTATCACGTCCTCAAAATTTGATACTTAGGAAGTGAAGATTGACGTCATTAATTATACTGTGGATTTCATACTCCTACACAGTTTGATAAATAAATTACAAAATATATCGAAAACTGCATGTGGGCGTACTTAATCGAAATACCGGTGACGTTGAAGTGTTATAGTACTTGGATCGGAGTATTAAGTAGAAAATACCTAAAAAATACGTTTCAATTTTTAATATTACGTGTGAAAAAATTATCTGTGCTAATATGAGAAATTAATATTTTTTCTTTTTTTTTTAGTGCAAAAATCGTCATATACCTTCTCTCAGACAGGGCGAGAGTGAGTGTCAGACTCTTGCTGACTAAACATCACACCGTTCCTTCTCTTTATTCCGTTTGGATGCAACCCCGGAATTACAATCAGCAGACAAGTTTTACGGACTGTTGGTCATCATCATCATTATCATCTTAGTGATGTAATGTTGTCGTCGTGGCGGCCCGGAGGTTAAAGCGCCTGCTTCTCATGCATATGGTTCCAAACCTGGCAAGTACCAATGTGACTTTTTCCGAGTTATATGTACTTTCTATGATTATTTAGACACCACTGACATACGGTGAAGGTAAACATCGTGAGGAAACCTGGACTTATAATTTCTAATTATAAGTTTGAAATCGCCAACTCGCATCTAGCAAGCGTGGTGATTAATGCTCAAACCTTATCCGTGTGAGAAGAGGCCTTTGCTCAGCAGTGGCCGCTTATAGGCTGATGATGATGAAATGTAAATTAACTTATTATAACTATAAAGAAAAAGCTATCGCCACGTCCCAATATCCGGGGTGAATCAACGAAAATGTCTTATATGTTATTATTAATGTATGGTGCTACAAAAAAGGTTGAAAAACGTTTACCAACACGATAATCTGACGTTAAGCCACGCCGACAGACCACAGATACTCAATAAATGGGAACTGATTGTGAACATCCGTTAGGTCTGTTATTTATACCGGCTCGATGTAATACCGTTGCTTTGAAAGCAATAAAATCTACGATTCTGGATTAGGATGAAAAACAACCAGCACCAATAAAGGAATATTTTATTCAAGTGTGGGAGAGCCTTGCTTTAGCACGAAAGAGTCGGGTTGACCTGATTGATACCACGGTCACACAGAAAACCTGCGTAAAAATATCTCAGCGTTTTGTTTCTCCGTATAAGTAAGATTACCAGAGGGGCAATTCTTCCCCTACACCATCCCTCCCTTATCCCTAAATCTCCAAAAACCTAATATCCTAATCCCAAAAGGTTGAAAACGCAAACAAAACGAAACTCTTCCGGCTTATATGGGCGGTGCCGATTGGTTAACATCTGGTTATGATCAGGGTGCTCCTTTGCCGACTTATTACATAAAAAAAATATTTTTAATCTACCACATTATACTTTAAAAAATTGGATTGTAATATAGTAATTTTCCATGGAAAAGGCTAGCTTGTTAAATCATATCAGTAATCTTTGCTTTTGAACTAAATCATAGTTGTAGTGTTTTACTTTTACTTGTATTTCATTTCATTTATCATTATACTTTTAAAATAATTACTGTAATGTTTTCTATGTTAAATAAAGGAATAAGAAAAAAAAACATTTATTGTTATAAATACATTTATAACTAATAAACTGCACACTTTCTCATTATTCATTCTAAATAGCATCAAGAACATTTAATATCACAACTTGATATATTAACGGATAGATTAGAAATGAAATAATCCTCAAACAACATTTTTAAATTATGGCTTGCCATTTCAAAGAATTCGTGATGATTCGTGAAATACGTTGAAAACTCTTACTTAGAGTAAGAGTTTTCAACGTATTTTTAATCTAGACCTAAACTCAGTCTAGCTAAAAACAAAGACGTGCAAAATCCTTTAGAATTTTTCTACGATATCGATACGTGCTAACTATTCTAATCAACTATGCAAATCGAAGGTTTCAAACTTCCGTTAGTCACGTCTTGGCTGTGAACTGCTTCGATTTAAACCAACAATTTTGAATAGCAACTTATATGAATAATATTTCTTGAATAAAATAGTAGACTCTGGTTGGTTATTGAGAGAGTTTATTTAAAAGAGCTTAAATAAGATTGTAGACCAGAAATTTGATTGCTGCTTGTACCCACCGTTTTACTGGTAGTCCCAAAGGTCAGACTGGTAGATAATGCCACAAAGCATTAAGTCTGCCTATGTACATACGAACATTAGCGAATAAAGCTTATTAAATAAATAAAAGTCAAGTAAGAATCTTAGAAGACTTATTTAATGTTGACATTTTCATATTAAATAGGCGAGGTATTGAAACAGGCAGATTAATGTGAATGTGAGTGTGTGAGTAAGTGTGGGACAGCCAAGCTTCGGCACGAATGGGTCGGCTCGACCGGAGTGATACCACGGCCTCACAGAATACCGGCGTGAAACAACCCACAGCGTTGTGTTTCGCCGTGTGAGTGGGTTACCGGAGGCCCAATCCCTCCCCTTCCCAATCCTTATATCCGCAACCCCATCCCCAAAAGGCCGGCAACGCACTCGTAACTCCTTTGGTGTTGTGGGTGTCCATGGGCGGCGCCGATTGCTCATCATCAGGTAATCCGTATGCTCGTTTGCCGACTTATCCCATAAAATAAAATAAAAAAAGAACATTTTTGTTAAACCACGATAGTTACTATTCAAAAAAAAGACAGGCATGGTTATGTAATATAAGTTTGGTACTACTTCCATCGCCAAAAAAAAAATTTAACATGGGCAGCGCAGATCAAGACACACAAACAGTATCTTCACAGGTTATTGTCAAAATTCTCTCATAATTTAAAACAGCATACAATACTTTAGAGGCCTGAGAACCAGCTTTAAAGTAAACAAATTTTTGTTTCACAATGTTGTGGACACGCTTGTTCGTGTGTGCTTGCGGATCAAACCGTATGTTCCAACTTCCAGTATGGTTCTTGATTCATCTGATTGTATCATATCATTTGACTACTCAAGAGAAATTTTATTGTTTTCTGAATATGAAAGGGCCAGAACGACGTTAGTTATGGTCCTTTGGATAACCGAGTGCTAATATTTTTTTTCTTAGCTGTAAGGTTGGATAGGCACAGTTTCGCTCAGTCTATATACATTAAAGTAATGGGAGAACCATGCTACGGCACGGATGGGTCGCCTCGACCGGAGTGATACCACGGCCTCACAGAAAACTGACGTGAAACAATCACAGCGTTGTGTTTCGCTTTGTGAACACTTTTACGGCGAGTTTACTGGATGTTCAATCTTTCCCCTCCGCCAATCCCAAAATCTCCAAATTGCTACTCCCCAAAAGGCCGGAACGCACTCATTGTGGCCATGATCGGCGCTGATTGCTTAACATCAGGTAATCCGCCAGTTTGTTTGCCGTCCCATCACATAAAAAATATCACAATCTTCGGACAAGTTATCTTTGACTTTCACTGTTCAAGATCCGAAGCTTCAACTTGTCAAATAAAACAAAAAAAATAGACCGAACTCGTAGACAAATAAAACCAATTCTAGTACAAAAATTCCGTGTCTTACATAACGAGCATGTTTTTCTAAATCGATTGATAAAATTGGCACAAGCGTCAAGGTCCATCAGTATTGTCGATTAACACCAAAACCAGATCATTAGGTAATTCAATCATCGAGTAATTCGTGTTAAAACTAGATCTGACGTCATCAGTACTAGTAACCATCACAAAACTATTTTCCGTATTTGATTATATACATTTTATTGTACGATAGCATTTACCCAAGGCTTTGTTCATGTGAGTGCTAAAGCCTAGCCTTTTCCGTACTCCAAAATATACGAACTCAAGTTCAAGAAAGTTGGTTGACTAGATGAGGGTCGACAAATACACAAACAAGATAAACAAAGATTACCGTTTGCTTCATAATATGGCCGATAAATTCGAATATAGAACCTATTTTGTATGAACTTTATGCTACATCATTTTATCGGGATATTATTAAGAAAGTGGTGCTCGGGCACACACAGGCACTTTTAATATCAGCTAGTTGTTTTTATTTTTGGAGGAGACAAAATCAGCCACCGAATTACATTTTAACTATTTTTTCGGCAGTGTCCGTCAAAATCATAATTATTTCATACAATTTCCTCAGAACACTTTATATTGGACAAAACATTATAAAAATCCATCCAGCAGTTTTTATACATCATGTTAATACAGACAGGCGCAAAAGGGACTTCTTTTTGATTTGTAAAGTACACAGACACAGGGCAAAACATGTACCATCATTCTGATGCGGCTAAGTACTAGCAAAAACTTCATTATGAAATACTTCAGTGAAATGAGGAGTAAAGGGAGAAACGCTAGGATGAAATGTTCAAGTTAATGACAAATTCCAACGTTTGTCCTCACATCAAGGCTTTCACCATATTTAGTTGAAAAGCTATGTATGTCACACAGCTTTGATTGCAGTATTGAGATCACAAATACAAATTTTACTTGCTTTATTTATTAAATTAGTTACTTGGAGTCTGTATTTTGTTTGAAAAAGGTAAGTTTTTGGCTATAAGACGGGCTTCAGATAATTATTAGTTATTTACATATCGGTACACAATCTAATCTAGAATAAAATTTTGACATCTTTAATTGTAACTAGCTTCCGTCCGCGGCTTAGCGTTTGTTGATAAAAAATTGCCTGTGCCAAATTTCTTCCGGATCCGTCCAGCCGTTTTGCCGTGATTGAGTAACAAATATCCAAACATCATAACTTTCATATTTATAATACTAGTAAGAGTAAGATAAAACGTAAGGCCAAACTTCCAATTAGCAATAATGAGTGACATATATAAATAAACAAACAAAAACAAACACAGCATGAAATGATCCAATATTAAAAGTTATCAAAGACTTCTTCAGCCCAGAGAGAGAGGGAATATCAGGCTCTCACTGACTAAAAACCACCTCATTCCTATTCCTTCTCCTGCTCCGGGACAGGGCCTACTATACACATTATCACCCTTACACCCGATATCTGACTGATAGTTTTAACATCTCCTAGTAACGACTAGTAAATGCCTAACAAACTAAGTAGAAAACCAATCAAGCAATTTCCCACCCGAAGATAAGATCTTAAAACATGTTTCTTTAAAGAACGTAATTACCAGACCATATTTATTGCGAGAGTTACATAAGGTACATTACGTAATTCTGATACGATGTCAAGGGATTGAAGTCAGCGGCTACATAATAATAATAAAGGTCTGTAGGACAAGATGATTCATTGCCAACTTGTTAATTATATACTCATAACTTTCTGCCCCGCACAGCAAAACTTTGGAATGATCTTCCGGCGGCGGTATTCACGAACCGATACGACCTTCAAACCTTCAAGAAACGAGCGTACTCCTTGTGACTCCTCTGGTGTCGCAGGTGTCCATGGGGGGCACCGACCGCTTACCATCAGGTGATACGTTTGCCTCCTATTCCATAAAAAAAAGGGTACAGACTACTCCAAAAGCAGAGACGAGAAGAAATGTGTATGAATGAAACAACCAATCAGCGATCTGAACTTAAGCGTTGGAGAAAAGAGTTATTTAATAACGAACGAATTTATATTTTTTTTTCTGTCATAGGTCAGCAACGAGCTGACGGATTACCTGATGGTAAGTAATCGGCGTCGCCTATACACTCGCAACACTAAAGAAGCTACTAAAAGTGCTTGCCGGCCTCTTGTGGTTTGTTAGAGATTGATCGATTTTTTTTTTTGATTGGATTGGATCTCCGTTAACCTCACTCACACGGCCAAACTCGATGTACCTAAATATTGCTTCCCGAGAGTTTTATGTGAGGTTTATTGATTGTTGTCAGGTTGGTTGTCAGGCGCAGGGATTGAAAGAAAACTTTACCACATGCCAGTCTTTTTATCTTAGCCGTAGACACAATTTCACATACACATAACACAAAGAGTTTTTCCGTGCGGAAATTGAACTTGCATCACGTTGCACGTCAGCCGTTTGCCCAGAAACCGCGTCTATTGTGCAGTCTCTTTATGCGATTTGTGAAGACAAAGTTATTGGTTTTGGGAATCCTAACAAAAAGTTGGTATACTCAGCTTAGCAGTTACTAATATTGAATTGACTATGAAAAAAAAGATAATAAATATATCTATACAAATATTATAAAGAGGTAAAATTTCTTAGTTTGTATGTAGGGGGTAATCTTCGAAACGGCTGCCTGGTCAGATTTCCAAAATTCCTTCACTGGTAGGTAATGTTCCTGCTTGCTGTAGGCTATAAAACATCACGCTACGATCTATAGGAGCCGAGCAGCGAGTGTAACCGCGCGAGAATAGCTAGTTACAAAATACAATCCCAGACCATTACCCTCTCATCTGGATTGTGAGAATAAAAATTAAGAGGAAAATAAACTGAGTAAACCTAGTTATGGAAGCACTAGTACAAATAGTGCCTATGTCAGCATGAGAGCAGGCAAAACTGTCACAATCTGTAAACACGTGTAGTATTAAATATTAATTAATGTAATTTTTAATTTTTATTTTTAAAAAACCGTCACTGACGCTCCCAATCCTGACTACCTTGTTCCTATAATAAATGCTTTTGCGTAACAATACAAGAAACATATCCTTAATTTCTACCGTGAATTTTTGATTAAAATGTGTCATGCTTAAGAGCTGACCCAATCATTATACATGACGCATTATAACCGGGACTTTCCCAGACCAAAATCGATTCAGTTTACATTCCCCTTAAACTCATAATGTTTCGGGTAAGTCATTAGCCGGGGTCGCGGGGCAAGCGCAATGATGAATGCAAAAATAAAAGTCCGACACTCCCTCCCGCCCGACTCTGGGCGGGAGAAGGCATTCGATGATTTTCCCCCTAGAAAAAAAAACGGGTATGTCATCCAATAACTTCTACCGTCCTGTATGGCAAGAGGGAGCGTCAGACTCTTACTGACTAAAAACTTCCCCATTCCTTCTGCTGCTTAGCTATTAGGAAGAGGCAGTGATACATTATTATCCTTGCACCCGTAACCCAGCCTGAACTTTTACTTCCGTTCAAAAAAATATTTTAATTTGGCGAGACATCATACATAACTCTGTATTCATTAGAACTTGCTATAGCAAAGTTTATTCAGGTGGGTTTATTGTCAATAATTTAAAGGTTCTCAACATAGGTGACTCATTACGTTTTGTATTCAAAACAATTGACTGAAAATTGGTGTAAATTATACCTATGTATTTCTTTTGTTTTTTTTTTCGAGCTTCTATTACAAAATCTGTTTTAACAAAAAGTAAATAAAACAGAAGCGTAATGTTTTAGACTTTAAAACTCCTCGTAGATTAAGATAACTTTTAAATGGCTAGAAAAACCTTCCTAAAATGCTACACTTTCTAAAATCTACGTTTCACAGCAATCTTTTCTGCCAGCAGAACTTCAGAACAGCAATAGATATATAATTATCAAAAAAAATTACTAAGCATTGCATTCTAATTGAGAAAAATCAATGAAAAATCAATCAATGAATCATGATCTTCAGCCATACATACAGGCACAGACATTATTCCTACACCCGGTGACACCTTCATTTTGTTATCATTTTCTAGATTATACGAGTAATTCCTGTTAGAGACTACATTAAATGACCTCCCTAATAGGACATGTCTCAAGGAACTTCAATAACAATTGTGGTCACTACAATCATAGTATAAGGGTGATTACGGCAACCAGAAATAGAATAGCTCTGATGATGTCAACGACCAATTGGAATACTCCACGCAGAAGGTGGAAATTCAAGATGTTTTACATCAAAATAAATCTCCAACGATAAATTAACCGGAGTCTAATTAATAATATGATTCGGAGTGATTTTATTCATTTGTTTAATGCCGAATGGTGGTGAAAGATATATTTTGGAGGCGGTTGTCTGTGTTTGATGGATAGCCTTCGATATGTCTTCTTAACCATGAGTCATGAGGATAGTAACGAATGTCGGTGACGAGTCTGGTGTGCCAGCTTCAATGAATTCATTTGGCTGGGGCCGCTTGGAGACTAACATCCTCCAATTTTTGTCCACGACGACGGGGCTCACAAAATAAAGACCGCGTAAAAGCAATGCGGGACAGTAAATTTTGATCTGATTTTGTTGCAATTTAGAACAAATATGTGATTATACAAACCACTGTATTTGTTACTTTGAATCAACTCTGTGCATTAGCACGGAAATTTGTTAATAGTAACTGAGACATCTTTAGAACACCTAATAAAATACAATAACAAATTGTCAGATTCGGTATTTTTAACAGTTAGTTAATCAGTTCCAATCTGATAGAATCAATAGAATGTCTTAGTGAGAACTTTATTACATTTTCCGGGAATTCTCACATCCTTTGGATAGCGTAACCTTCATGTAATCTAGTCTTGACTCTTGAGACCAATCTTATTTCGATCAACCTTTTCTGAACTATTAATGTGTACCGATTACACTTTACGTAAAGCGATTTAAGTACTGCGAATATTCACGTCGCCCCCATCTTTTCGGCACCATTGGTGGACACTGCAGTGGTTTTTGAGGTGATGCACCCCAGAGTTGACGGATGTTTTAAAGTTTGTCTATATCTACTAATGCTGCCAAATGGGAATGAAATACCAAAGAGAATATAGCACTATACTTAGTCATTCCACAATACATTTCCTAGGCGGTGTCTATATTCAAATTTAGTCGCAATCAAATAATATGTTTCATTATATCTTCAAATTTATTTCCCTTCCTTCATATACTATTATTTCGGTTACAATTGGAGATCAAAACTAAAAAACCTTCATCCCTTCAAAAGTAACGAATAGCCGATTTGTTGCAGATTAAAAAAAACATAATCCCCAATCTAGTAATTCCATAGAGAAGCAATGCAATATGATATAACCTATTTACAGATTACACATTTCTAGTTCTATCGTCTGTGACCTCTATGCCACTTCCCACTGGTAACCCACTTCCGAAGCTGACGTGTCGAGGTAGATAAGCAGCATAGCAGACATAATTCAGTTTATTACTAAATGCTGTATTTACTTTTCTATTATGTGAACTAACTTTAAGGAGAAAATAAACTATAGATCGCAAATCCATTTCGAAAACTAAATTCTATTATTTTGATACCTGGAGTCAAGCAAAGAGTTTTTAAAAAACCTTTTTATTACCTATAGGTAGACTAGGATTTCATCATGTGTTGTAGATATAGGTACTAACAAAATAGTTTTGCATTGAATTAAATGATTTATTATTACAAAAATTGGGTAGGTATCAATTTGGTAAAACTATACATATTAATGTCAAGTGATGCAAAGCGGGCACAGCTAGGTAGGTAAATCATTATAGTTTACATAGATCGAACGTGGATTAGAATCAATATAGGTATTGATTAAACTAAATATTTGGATAAAGGGGCTTCGGCAAGATTGATATTTGCTTACAACTTGTCCAAAACCTGTTTCCGATTATTTTTATGAGATGAATCAACACCCACAATGTGACATACATGCGTCTTTTGATTGAAACTAGCTTTTGCCCGCGACTCAGTTCGCGTGGAATAGTGACTTCCTGCAGATTTTTGGTATAAAAACTATCCTATGTCCTTTCTCGAGTTCCAAACTATGTCTGTACGTGCCAAATTTCACAGAAATCGGTTCAGTAGTTTAGGCATGAAGAAGGCAGACAGACAGTCAGAGTTCCTTAGGATTTCAAAGAAAATTCACAGAAACAAGACATGGATTATTCTAGGGAGTGTATTTGAGAAAGTTATGCAAGAGCTTAGAAATGACTAAATCGTTAGCACGTATTTACGGCCTTACATCCTTAATGATTGTACAAATTTTGAAGCGTAAATTGAATAACGAACGCTCGCTTTAATTGTTCAAATTAGAAACCGTTTCCCGTTTTAAAATGTTGTGTAAATAAATCTTTCTGTGTGGTTTCTATAATCGATAGCTTGGATACAGCTGAAGTGATTAACTAATAAAAAAAAATATTACGAAGAGACTATACTTTTTGGCCATAAAACCTCCTTCAACTATAACATCAACAAACACAACAAATACAGAAGATATCTATGAAATACAGTCTTAACACAAAAATAATTTCATTGTATCACAAGTGTCAACAATGATTTCATCACTTATCAACAACGTTTTTCGTAAAAACAGTAAGTCGTTGACTACCGAGAAATTAAAAATTGCGTTTTTTTAAGGTTGATTCGAGAACTGTAGCAAGTTTTTAATGGAATACTAGCATACCGCCACTGACTTACATTGGTGCAATGCTTATACTAAATTTCTCCACTATTAAACGTATGTTATTATACATACATGAACCATCCTCTTCAATCACTTCATCTATTGAAAAAACGGCACCAAATCCGTTGCGTAGTTTTAAAGTGTGCATTCGAAAATGTATGTTTGTAAACGCATCCACGACACAGGAGAAAATCATAGTGTGGGGCAACGTTTTTTTTTTAAAGAAAAAAAAAGGTTTAATTAACCATACATAGGGACAGAGAAAGCAACTTTGTTTCATACTATGTAGTGATGATGAGGCACAGGCAAACAAGCACACGGATCACCTGATGGTAAGTGAATATTTCTAATACCAGAAAATCCAGAAATGCAATCAAAGCTCTTTGGTTTATTGAACATTAAAAAATTGAAACACCCTATTAAATTATCAATAAGTTTACGATTGACTACGAGTCAGGTCTGGTACTCATAGTCCAAGTGCAAATTGCGCCTACCTACGTACTTTCTGCTAGGACAAGCGTGCACTCGTTGCTGAGTGCTTCGTTTAACGTTATCCAACTGTTTGAGGCTTAATTTTTCGTTGCTACGTACCTACACTCTAAAGATGATAATGCTGTATTATTTACTTTTTGCCTGTACGACCTTGTCGGGCGGTGGAAGCTACACTCTACACATTCTACCTACAAATACCAGTAGTGATCGGTACGTGTCGGCCTTAATGGCACACTCTGGTGATATTCTGTTGCCGTACAACCTGCACTTTCAAATGAACAATCTGATTTCTCATTTCTCCGCTTTCATTGCCTGGTAGTTTTTAGTTCGGAAATGTTGCTAACGACGTTTTTAGGATCCTTAAAAGGTTAAAAATCTTTTTTCTGCGGTTTAAGATTATATTTCTGCATAGAAGGATAGTTATTCATTAGGAATTTTATACAGAAATGGCAAGTGAACTAGTATAGCTATCCGCAAATATTTCAAGACCAAAATAGATTTACTTTAGTAATTTATGGAGCTTGAAAAGATTTTTAAGCCCATAATAAATTGAATTTAATATTGCATTTAAAGATAAACAAAATACAAAACGTCATCTTATTATTACAATATTCATTCATACTCACAAAAAACCAATTCTAGTGTGAGTTTATTTATTTATTATTATTTAGGTACGACCTCTATTTGTCCTTTTTATGTCAATCATAGGTCGATCCTTTTAACATAATCATTATTTATGCACATGTCGGGGTCTGCAATGATCCCGATTGGTTTGACATTTTGAGGGTCGAAGATTGACAAGGACGTAATACTGTCCGCTTTTTAAAACCGGATAAATGATAGGAGCTGTTCGTTTTTCACGAGGGACCAGTATTTGCAAGTCACGAATAGAATTTCTTTACTAATGGCCTCCGGTATTCATTGTGAGTGAGGTATCGCGAACGAAGACTGATGTTATCGCGTCACATTTGCATTTTGTTTTATTTTCGTCTATGTAACAATGCTCTTTGGTATACGCTTTTAACTTCCGAATATTCCACTTATATTTTTTCTACTATTACTATTTCAGAACATTCTAGAAAACTGAAGATACAGTTGGTTTGAATTGGTTTACATTTTTCGCAGATTTTCATATCATTCTTCTTTATTGTTTACTAGCTACTCTCGCGCGGTTTCACCCGCTGTTCGGCTCCATTTAGCCGTAGCGTTATGTTTTATAACCTATAGCACTCAGGAACATTGTAGCTATCTATCAGTGAAAGAATTTTGGAAATCCGACCAGCGGTTCCAAAGATTACCCCCTACATACAAACTCACAAACTTGCAAATTTTACCTCTTTATAATATTAGTAAGTATAGATATAGATTTTTGGCCTCTAGATGGGCACTTAAGTGTACTAATAGGTATTAGATAAATGTATTAATTATTATTATCTAAGTAGGTAAATCTTCCAGTTTCTTCCACATCGCTACCAGCACGATAAAAATCAACTACATCGCGTTCGGAAACCGCATTCAAACATTACGTGAGATTGAAATCACGGAACAATACTAATAGTAGGTACAACTGACTACAAACATAATTTTTTGCTAATTAAATTTATTGTTTCGTACATGTTTTTATGAAAAACCTAGACAGCACAAGTGGTTACGAAAGACAGCAACAATATCTGGGAAGTTGAGAAACATGCTTCCGTTCCTTATAAACGTTATGTTACAACTTCACACGCGAGCAAAGATGTTGGTGTTTATACGGTAAGGTCATAGAATTCATTATTTTCGTCGTAATTTTTAGTCAATTTTTGTATTCTCTATTATATCTTATATTATGGTTAATATTAATCTTATTATATAGTTGCCTATTCGCTGCTTAAAGGTTTCGTTTGTTAGAAGGTATCGTGACATCGATCAGTTTTTAGAAGAATAATGGAATAAACCGCAACCTTTTTGATAATAATGAGGTTTTATTACATATGTCGTGGTGGTCCGGAGGTTAAGGAGCCCGCTTTCGTGTTCGAAACCTGGCAAGTACTTTCTATGATAATTTAGACACCACTGACATACGGTGAAGGTAAACATCGTGAGGAAACCTGGACTTATAATTATAAGTTTGAAATCGCCAACACGCATTGAGCAAGCGTGGTGATTAATGCTCAAACCTTTGCTCAGCAGTGGGCACTTATAGGCTGATGATGATGATGATGATTACATAGGACATGTAGTTTGATAATACCAGCTTTTATTTGAGGGGGAAAATCATCAAATGGCTTCTATCGCCCAGGGTGAGGTGAGAGGGAGTGTCAGATTGTCACTGACTGAAAACTACCCTGTTCCTTGTCCTATAACAGTCCAGGGTCGCGGTACCTTATAGCTTGACCCACAACCCCGATAAATAACAATACAAGGGTTGATCAATCAACTTGGACACAAGCTAATTTGTTGACTACCTTTAGAGTGACAATAGTTTCAATCAGCACATTCAACAACACCATGCCATTTTTCAACAGTAAAAAGAGTTAATTAGCAAAAGAATACATTTCACCACACCTTTTTTATTGGAAAGTTCATACCTAAGTGTAAGCAGTAAATCAGGTAACTGCACGATCTTGAGCAGTGAACAGCCTGTAATTAAGTCGTAAACGCATTCACCTACTACCACCACATTCACAGTACAACTAGCACCTAGCTTCACTGACAAACAGACTGATAGACTACTATTTCTATTTTGACGTCTCAAAAGTACCTATTTATGGTTTAGTTGGAATAAATGATTAAGACTTTGACTTTGATTACCATATTTCACTGAAGAACTTGTTTTGAACAGTTACTTTGATTTCTGCTTGGAATCACATCAACAGCCCATGACAGTCCAGCCAAGAGAGGTTTTCCAGCTCCATAGTCGTCAGACAGGATAGAGAATAAAGTTTAAAAGAATCAGATTTGCAAAGATTATAGTAACGAGTTTAAGGAAGCTGTTGTATTGAAGATAATAGAGTTCATTTGTCTTTACTACTATGAGAGGGGGGTAAAATTCGTAAGCTTGTGTAAAGGGTAATCTTTGGAACCGCTAGTCGGATTTCTATAATACTTTCATTAACAGATAGCTACACTATCCTGAATGCTGAATGATTTACGTTTGGTAGAGCTATCGCTTTAAACACTGCTGTTTTTAAAATCTTAGGAGAATTATAAATGATCAGATCATTAGAACTATGTAACTACATAAGTAATGGCAACTCCCATGAACACCTTCAGCACCACTGGAATTACATGATCATTGCTTGCATATTGAGGGTAGGGCTTTAAGGATTAACCTCTTCTCTGCCGGTATATGAGACACAATAGAAAACACATTGTGTCTCGCGTATATCTGCGCTCGGCATAACACGTGTTAAGAGTGGATGGAGGGAAAATCGAAGTACTTTTGCTGGTTTTACATTAATGTTTTTATGTTACCAACAAACTGAAAATATATACTCCAAAATTAAAGACATCTAGAGAAGAATGACAATATGTATTCGACGGCATTCAGCAGTTTTATTGTTTCAGTTGGAAAAAAAACATGATGGTTTTCCCCAGATGAGTAATCATGTTAATCAGAATACTGTAAGAAATTCAAGAATCACTATGAGGTTAATATTGGAGAAAGAATGATATAATTATTGAGGTTGTTATTAATTTTAATACATCTATATATATAAAAGAAAGTCGTGTTAGTTACACCACTTATAACTCAAGAACGGCTGAACCGATTTAGCCGAAAATTGGCATGGAGGTAGTTTAGAGCCAGGAGAAGGACATAGGATAGGATAGGATAGAGTAGGTAGAGTAGGTTAGGTAGAGTAGGGTAGGTAGAGTAGAGTAGGTAGAGTAGGTTAGGTAGAGTAGGGTAGGTAGAGTAGGGTAGGTAGAGTAGGGTATGTAGAGTAGGGTATGTAGAGTAGGGTAGGTAGAGTTGGGTAGGTAGACTAGGGTCGGTAGAGTAGGGTAGTTATAGTAGGTTAGGTAAAGTAGGGTAGGTAGAGTAGTGTAGGTAGAGTAGTGTAGGTAGAGTAGGGTAGGTAGGGTAGGGTAGGTAGACTAGGGTAGGTAGAATAGGGTAGGTAGAGTCGGGTAGGAATAGTAAGCTAGGTAGAGTAGGGTAGGTAGAGTAGGGTAGGCATAGTAGGGTAGGTAGAGTAGGGTAGGTAGTCAAATGATGGGAGCGACGCCGCGGGTAAGAGCTAGTTTTTTATAGAAATAGATATAATGTATTTAGTTTGTTTTACCAGAAGTCCGATAATTACTACCAAGAGTTGAATACCTACTTTAAGTAGTAAGTATGTATTAAAGAACAGTACCAACAAACTATATAATTAAGTACAAAAACACATTATAAACTAATGTTAAGAGAAAGTAGTTACTGTACTGCCAAAGTTAGGTATGAAAGTGAACAAGTGTAATTTGTGTTACTGTTAAAAGCCTGTAGTAAAACTGTGTACCTAAATAAATGTTTGAGCCAAAATTAAAAAATGGAATAGAGACTTTGATTGATTACTGTTCTTAAGGTTTCATTGCAGATTCATTAGGATGAGTTACAGTTTACATCAATAACTCATCCCTGGGACTTAGATTTCTTTACTGGAGATGAAATTTTGACAAATTAAGCAAATGTAGAAGCCTAGATAAGTTGTTTAAACCTAAGACTAAATGATTTCTATCCTTATAATCTTTACTGTTTTTAAGCATGCCTTGATTCATTCATAGAAGAAAACACAATAGCTTTGCAGCTTCACCTAAGGGTAATATTTTATTCATCTACATACAATAAACAAAGATAGAATAACACACATTATCCAAGGACAAGAATCTATGAATAAAACCTTTTTACTACATTCCTCTTGACAATAATCATGCACAGATTATAGAAAACAAGTTTATATGATTTATATCCTTTATGACTCAGTTATTTTGTCATAGTAATTTGATAGTGGGGCGTTAGCTATTTGCAACATTTAGTTGTAATGTAATATGGTTTCAAAACTAATCATTACTCATTTGGCTATAACTCTGTGTTAATTTGTTGGGACAATAAAAATACTTTTTTAACTTGAACATTGGAATTTTTTGTTTAATCTTTAGTTTAGTTTGTAGATTAATCTACTTAGTTGAAATGCAATTTGAACTATGTATTAATTCAAAAATACCTATGATTGCACAAATTTCCAAGTTTTTATAATTTACAATTCCCAACACTTTCAAAATACAAAATTTTAGAGGCCATGTACTACTTTAGATAGCTTTTATTTACTAAAAGTTGTTCTAAAAACTGTGTGAATAAACTATTTATCAAATTCTTTTAGCAAGCTGACTTTGTTTATACTGCTAAAAGATAGTAAACAACAATGACGACCCAATTATGTAGATGGCGTTTGGATAAACAACACAACTGAATAGTTTACAGTGTGTGAGATACTGGCAGTGTTTACTTACGGTTCTGGACTGTACTGAGCACCTCCGAAGAAGCCGTGCCTGTCCGGCTGCGTCGTCACCGACGAACATATCGATGTTGTGTCCCCCTGCTCGCTTCTATCACCTCCCGCACTTTTAACACTCTTCTGCAGCGACATATTTAACAACAATCCACACTTTTTCTACCTTCTGCTCACTACCATCACTTACACTGAGCAACCACCACAGTCGAACGCGAAGTGGGCGTGCAAATTAATTACAAAACATGTATGCAAGTGCCTCGCAAGCTCACGCCCGTCTACAATCACACAACTTCACAAAACAATTGGCACAGAGAAACCGCTGCTGTGCACATACTCCGGCGACCGCAACATAGCCGAGGACTGTGGCAATTATGGTAACAAAACGTGCCCAGAATAAATACAAACTAATACTTTCCTTATCAAAACTCAACGTGTGGGTGGGCGAGTGAAGTGAATACAAGAATGTACGTCATTTTTAGTGATGCGGCTGCATCAATAAACAAAAGATTGACATTAAATATTAAAATGACTTTTATCGGTTTTTTATTTACGGTTTTCAACTACTCCTTTTGTTTATCGACATTATCGACATTGACTGATAGATACTCTTTTCCGAAACTTAGTTGGCCTTAGGCCCTCATCAGTAATTATGTGCAAAGATTTATCTTTACTATCCCTGCAATTTCTTCAGTACAACGCTAGCTACTTTTTTCGACAAACTTTTCAATTTTAGAAAACTTAAATATAAATAAACTATTTTCAATAGAGTTTTATATTATCCGGCTAAATGAAAATTAAAAATTTACGTTTAAGTATTCACTACATAACCGTAAATCATATTAGGTCCGGATGTACGGCAATCCTAGCCTCAGGTCCGGATGTATAGGTACCTACTTCATGTCGAGTAGACATTGTCAATGTCAGATAGCTGTCATGTGTCAAGTATAAAATTCAAGATTCTGGAATCTGGAATTTAGGTTATTCTTGAATTAACAAAACTCAAAACATTGCAATAAATAATATGAATAACATCAAAAGAATACTAACAGCGCCTAGCTTATCTAGACTAAATTCAACGGCACCAGCTGAATTTATAAACAGAAACCCTCGAAACTTGGAAAAAATAAGGATCGCTCGCAAACCCGATGGCTATCACTTGGAAGCTCCAGGCAGAAAATTCTGGCATAAGTGTGTATAATATTAAGTTATATCACTGTATTTACTTGATAAGGTTAACCATAAAGTTATCTCTCTCTCTCTCTCTCTAGTAATTGAATAACCCAAAGAATAATGTTGAGTAGGGACTAAAGTTGTATTTTCCAATTTCAGGCTCACACTAACAGCCAGTAACCGCACAGTGACCGCCCAAGTAGTTCATTTTGTGAATGGTCCAGTAATAGAAGCGAAAACCTCAGAATGGGCACTACGTAAACAACTCTATAGCATCAAGGACACCTGTGCATACATAAATTTAGGCAAAGTGTTTGCACAAAGGTGTCTAGAAAGTGGTATCACGGAGATGTATTGTGATATCAAGCCAGTTGAAGGTGGAAAAGTCGATAGGTTTATCAAAGAGGTTGTTAATGGTGGAGTCAAATTGGAAGAGCCTGAGGTCTACAAAAAGCCAAGTCCGTGGGATTTACAGCGACCAGAAAAACCATGGGAGGTTGCAGAAGAATGATATATTATAGATTTAATTAAGTAGTAAGTAGGTAATTAACTAACTGAAAATAAATAATGTTTAATGAAAGTTTATTTTCTTTTTCAATATTTATGTTTTGTACCCCACCAAATATGCAAATTAATGTGTAATTTAGCCACATAACACAACTTACTCTTCCTTATCCTATTTTATATTAATTTTATTCTGATGATGTGCCTCTTAATGTAGTTTGCCATCAATCCCACAAAATGTATCGCTATAATGGCATAGAATAATTGCCTCTATTATTATTAAATTTCTATTCTGTGGAGATAAAGGCCCAGCTGAATTAAATCACATTGACTAGATATATTTTAAATATTAAAAGAGTGAAGCAACAGATATCAAATTTTTATTGTTATTAATATACTGAAATCAAAATATTGAATGAGGATGAATATTTGTATAAATAATAAAAACTGGCCTTATTTCAATCAGCATGTCAGGTGTTCTGACAGAACATAGCAAACAAATTACTATTATTATACTTTCTTTCATATTAATCGTTTTTATTGTCCTTCTGAAGATTTTTATTTAATTTTATTTATGTTTTTTGGTACTTGCCCAAAATGGACTTCGAAAGGTTCAAAGTCAGAATGAAAACAGTTTTAGTTCAAAGAAAATCTAATAGAATGTTCCGTGTACAAGGAAAGGTAACAAACGACAATTATGTTTAGTCTGTTATAAAAAATCGGAATACTTCACGTACGAAATGATACATTTGGTTGTTTACTGACACTCGAGCGTATGGCGCGTAGGCGTAGCGTTCCGCGCTTCAAATAGCCAATAGACCACCACAGGTTGCGGGGTTAACACATTCAGTGCCCCCGACGCGTATGTGCGTTTCCTCGCACGCACATACGCGTCGGGGGCACTGAATGTGTTAAAGCAATGAGTTACCACGGCCTCGGCCTGGAGTCAGTAATAATGACACTCGCCTCACCTTTCCCACCTTAAAAAAAGATATTTGACTGACCTCTTTGAGGAGTGGCTAGAGAGGAACTGGGAAGCCTTCTCCTTCTATAGTTATGCTCGCAAAAAAAGAGGCGGAGCGCACGAGGAAAAATTATTTCTCAAGCCCTGGCCGCCGCGGGTCTGCCGAGGAATGATCATTGCGCGAATTGAACTCGAGTCTGTGTGTCCCAGTAGGTCCGATGTTCAGTCGCGGTTGCAGGCCCGCGCCCGGTACAGAAAGAATGGGAATTTTTTTTCTCTCGCCCCATCCAAAGCGTAACGGAAAAACCCTTCTTTGAGGAGTGGCTTATGAGACGCCACGGCGTCCTCACCTTCCGCCCGACGGAAGCGATTACCGGGCACGGGGCTTCGGTAGGTTCCTGTTTCGGATCCGACGGTCGTCATTGTAAGGACCACCCAGAGGACACGGTGGAGCATTACGGTGGCGGTGTGCCCTGCTTGGGTTGAGCACCGCCCTGTTCTCAGGGACGTAATAGGCCGTGGTGACCTCTTGAGCGAGAGGAACTGGGAAGCCGTCTCCTCTTTCTGTAAAGCAGTCATGCTCACGCCCCAGCCGCCGCAATAGGTGACACTTCGGGCGTCGGGGTTCGAGACAGGATCTCCGGCCACAGCAAGCGTGGGTCTGCAGACGGCGAGTAGGGATATAGCTCACCGCCCGACCAGCACCAACCTGAGCGTACGGCGCGTACCGTTCCGCGCGCGCCTCAAAGAGCCAATAGAACACAACATACGGGGCCCCATAAGGGAAGAAGTCATTGCACGATTAACCTCCTCAAAAAAAGTAGTTGTAGGTAGATTTAGGTAGATATTTACCAAGAAAATTATTTTAATTTATCTCTTTAATTTTTATTACAGCCTCTTATTATCAAAGCGATGAGATTAATAAAGTTTATTTCTGGACTATATCAGCGCGGTATTAGACTTCATCGAGATATATTTTAAGCTATTAATGTTTTTGATTTTTAAATAAATGACTGTCGATATGCATTCGGGCATTTTTAATTCACTGACGGGGCCTTGTAGGGCTAATGTTTAGCCGGGGTTGCGGGTTAAGCACAATGAAGCACCCTCGGCCTAGAGCAGGCGAAGGAACGGGGGATTGTCAGTCAGTAAGATTCTGACACTTCTTCGCACAGTTTCACCGACTACTACTTACGTTTACTTACGTAGTTACAGAGATAAGCTCGTTGAAACAAACTTCTTCCAAGCTAAGAATAAAAAATAACAATAAAAATATAAACAAAAGCATTGGTTTCAAAACTTTACAATTTAATCCTAGTTTAGGTAAAAAAAAGAGAATTCGTAATTGTGGTGGTGTATAGACATTAAAAATCGAATTCGAATCACAATCATCTCAGATTTGAATATTACCAATGCCATTCTAAAAACAACGTCTGGGAACGTTCTTTTTATGACCAATTTTTTAAATCTTAGTGATTTCTGAACGCGCCAGTCGACTTCAAAATGCTACACAAAAAATAGATACTTATAAAACCAAATTGCGTTTTAAACAATTTTATGAAAAGCAAATAACATAAACAAATATTTTTAAACACATTTTGAATTAAATGTTAAAATATATTGTAATTATTCCTGTTTTTATTTTAAAAGAAGGTCAACGTGAGCTTGTACGAAAATGGCGGAAAGTATGATGGCGTCTATTTCGTGTAAAGACGAAACGTCAAATCTATACTTATCTCTGTCTAACTCGTAGAACTTTTCGTAAAGCACTGGGCACGCGTAGTGATCAATATGTCCACGTGATCTGTCGTCAGTCGACTCGCGTAATTGCAAATGCAAAATGTACAGGAAAGAAACGTTTGTGTTACAATGAAATCATAAATATTTTGTTATTGTAAGTTGTAGTGTGGTAGTTTTAAAATGCCTGCGTCTATTGGTGTCAATTTACGTGTAACTGGCCACTGCAGCCAAGGCGGGAGAAAGTATATGGAAGACTTGTTTTCCGTTGCTTATCAACAAACTGAAGACGAGAGAGACTTGGAGTATGCTTTCTTTGGAATATATGATGGCCATGGCGGAAGCGAGGCTGCAGCCTTTGCGAAGGAGCATTTGATGGACTCTATCGTGAAGCAGAGGCAGTTCTGGTCGGACAACGATGAGGATGTACTCAAAGCAATCAGAAATGGTTACATGTTGACCCACTTGAACATGTGGAAAGAGTTAGGTAAACACCAAATTTCACGTTATTGAATAACTTAATTATGATATCGAGTAGTTAAACAGCTTTGCCTAGGATCAAGGATAGTTCAAGTGACAGTAGCCAATGTTTAGCTTGACCTTGTTGAAGTTATTCATAATTTTTTCTTGAGTGGTTTGACATTGAGTTTACAGAAGTTTTTCGAATGGTCATTGTCGTTATTGTCTGTAATATCGCTTTGTTAGATAATGGCAAGTGAAACAAATTATGTTTTGCTAAGTTTTTTTGGGAATCCCACTCACATTACCAGGTGAAAGCAGTTTAACCAGTTCGAGTTTTTACGTTGCCTCAGGTTTCCACTTACGAAAATGTTATTTATAAGGTCATTATGGCAACTTAAGAAATTTACAGAGATTGTTAAGAACTCAAGACCCAATTCTAACAAGACTGAATTTAAATCCCACAAAAAGTTTATGGTAAATAGTTACATAGAAGTTCTAGAATGTTATTATTTTGTCAAAGGAATTTTATTCTTTAATGTGTGTTATTTACAGTAGATACCTAGTTAGTGAAGTTATACATGGCATATCAAGTAAACACTATGTAAACATTGACAAAGCGATATGCAAACTTCAGCCCAATTTGTGTTTTATAACTTAAGTTAGTATTGCAGACCTTCTATTAGAACTTACAATTGTATGTTGTCTCTATATCATTAAAACTACAGTTCTGAGTAAAAAAATCTACCACTAACTGCCCAAAGCCTTCTCCATACTCTTAACAATCTAAATAATAAAATTCTCATGTCACAATCTTGTAACCTGGCTCCTTCGATATGGTTTTACTATTTTTAAACAAAATTTACATGCATATTCAGTAGGTCTGAGAGTCAGCTTCTGTCTATTTTTCATAACCCTTATAGATAAATAATTTATACGACTAAACAATGTTTGCCGGGTCAGCTAATGTGCAGTACCAAATTGTAATAGGTGCCAAAAAGTTTATCCAATTATCTCTAAAATTAGTTTGTATATTAATATGAAATAATCATAGGTATCTTTATCCAGACCTTCATGTGAACGAACTTTTAATTTTTTATTGTTTATTGTTCTAATGATAACAGGATGAAGTAGTATTTTTGTTAACATTAATAACAAAAGGTTTCATAAACTGTTGTCCTTATAATCTGTCTGTATTCAGGATATTGTAAGTCAGAAACTTGAAAGTGCCTGTTTTAAACACAATAATGAAATGTCATAGCTTTATGTATACAAAAAGTACCATTTTAATTAAAAACTTGTAAAATTAAACTCTCTAGACTCAAGACCACACAAAATAGTTTAGTTATTCTAGAGCTGGTATCAACTTTCATTAGAATACAATGCTTTATAAATTTTTAAGCGAAATCAGTGTCTTTGAAATTCAATTTTTTACTAGAAATAGCATGAATAGTAAGTTGAAATTATATGATACTCAAATATGGGTACCTCATTCAAATTTGCAAATATTTGTTTAAATAAATTCAAATTACAAAAATATTATGTTAAGAATACAGATGTGTGAAAATGAAGCTTTCTATGAACATAAAAACTAAAAAAAAATTGTTTTCTTACAGAGAAATGGCCAAAAACTGTAACAGGGTTACCAAGCACTGCAGGTACTACAGCAAGCATAGCTTTTATACGCCGTGGGAAAATATATATTGGACATGTTGGGGATTCCGCTATTGTCCTTGGTTACCAGAAAGATGGTAAGTGGTTTTGTGCTAGGCAGATTTTTGTACAGTATTGACTGAAAAAAGTATTACTCAATGTAACTCTTTGTTTTTGAGTAAAAAAAATACTTTGATACCTAAGGAAAATGCTTACTTTCTTTTTAGCTGTCGGTAAATAATTCATTAAAGAACTATTTTAATAAATAATTCATTAAAGAAACAACAATACAAAAAAAATTTAATATATTTATTATCCAATCAAACCAAACCAAAAGTGATGTGGAATTTATTTGACATCCTGCCATTGGTTCATATTCCACTGAAATACTTGACTATTTGTCGTCATTTTGCGCAGTACTGTTGTACTGGATGACTGGGGGCATTCGCACCGCAACACTGCTGATGGCTTGGATTACTATATTATGACAGAGCATGTATCGTGTGTGTTGATGAGATTAGGATTCAGTAACTAGATCAAACACATTGTTGAGAAATTCTATTAAAAAATATGAGCCCATAGTGTGTGTATCAATAAGGGCAAGCCATATCCATTCCTAACCAACATTTTTGTTGTTTTATAGGTTGTGAGGAGTGGGCTGCAAAACCATTGACATCAGACCACAAACCAGAATCCACAACTGAAATAGAGCGCATCCAAAGATGTGGTGGGAAGGTTGTCTCAAAGGCAGGAGTCCCACGAGTTGTGTGGAACAGGCCACGATTAGGTCACAAGGGTCCTATCAAGAAGAATACACCTATGGATGAGATTCCATTTCTAGCAGTAGCGAGGTCACTTGGTGACCTCTGGAGCTACAACCCTCAAAATGATGAATTTATAGTCAGTCCTGACCCCGATGTAGGTGTATTGACTATAGATCCGTCCAAATTTCGGTGAGTCACTTTTAGTATGCTGAGGGATGTATTTTGGCAAGATTGAGATCTATTCATGTTCTATGTTATTACTGAGAAATTTAACATGTTTTGTTAAAGAGTATAATGGTTGGTTTGCTACATTCCAGATGTCTGATTTTCGGCACTGATGGCTTGTGGAACATGATCTCACCAGAGGGCGCCGTCAGCTTAGTTCAGGCCACAGAACGGCACAATGAAGCCGCTCTCGTCGGTGGAAACGGAAACCAACCAAGGGACTGGTTAAACCCTTCCAAAAGTCTAGTAGACCATGCTCTGGAGAGGTAAGAATAAGTGATGTCATAATATTTTTTACTTTGATTTAGTTATTTTGAGATTTGTAATGGTGTTGTGTTTGTGGGTAGATGGTCCAACACCAGAATGCGCGCGGACAACACGTCGGTGGTGACGTTGATGCTGGACCCGCCTGGGCCGCCGCGTGCCACCGTCCTGCGCTCCCGCAGCAGCGCGCAGCGGCCGCAGCAGGCCGCCGCCCCCGCGCCCGCGCCCGCCGCGCGCCCCGACCCGCAGCCCGGCGCCGTGCCACAGAACGGGCTCACCATCATGACGCGCTACTCGGACGCGGAGCGTGCCGCGGCCCCGGCCGCCGCCCCCGCCGCTCCGGCAGCGCCCGAGACTCCCCTGCCGCCCTGCGCCACGCTGGACACACGCTTGTCTACACCGGCGCCAGATGACACTCCGCCGCGCGATTCATCGGATACTGAAGACAGTGATACAATGGTGAATTACGGAAATCCTGCTGAATCATATTTCATGGCCCGGCTTCTGAATCGGACACGCGTTATCAATACTCTGTCGGCTGTCCACGATGAAATTTCCGGCAGCCCGGTACAGCGAGAACCCTCGGAATCTCGCGAGCCCGCGGCCGCCTCGGCTACCATAGTGCCCGAAGTCGATGCAGAATCTGACGCGTCCACTGCCAACCGTCCTCCTCTTCCGCCCCGCACGGCCTCCAGTGAATCTTCTACGCCCGCTTCAGAATCTGGAAATACATCAGATGATGACGGTGGCATACAAATCAACGAAGTTTCTTCGAGTTCACCGACAGAGAGTCCACCAAAACCTCGTGGGCGTCGGCCCCGCACAGAAGTAAAGAGGGAGCCGTCAGCCGGAGCCCCCGACCGGGTTCTGCGCTCCCACCACGAGCCCGAGCCCCCGCAGCGTCCCCATACGCGCCAGGCAACGCGCGCGCGCCCCGCCTCTACCCCTGCGTCTACCCCCGCCCCGGCGCAGCCACTCGACCGCGTCGTTATCATCACCAGGCGAGCACCCGCGGCGCCGGTAACTCCAGCTACCCCGCCGCCGCCGAGACCCGACCGTCTGGCGGCCGGGGACAGCAAACCCGCTGGGAGACGTATCGCTCCAGCACCTGTGGAAACCGTGACCACCGAGGAAGATGCCAAGAGGAACGGTACCCGTGCTACTCGATCCCAAGGCACCCCAGGCGTAACACCTTTGGCACAAAAGATCACCCGCAGCATCGGGCTGTACGCTCGCGAGCTGCGAGGCGCGGCGGCGGCGGCCGCGGCTGCGGCAGGCGCGCGGGCGGGAAACTCGGCGCGCGCCCCGGGCCCGGCGCGGCGGGCTCCGGCGGCGCGCCGCCCGCCCCCCGACCGCTCCAAGGAGAACCTCGGCGCCGCGAGGGGCCGCGCGCGCGCCCGCGCCGCTCCCGCCGCCTCGCCGCCCCCGTCTCACCCGCTCCCCTCGCACCCGTCGCCCCCCTCGCCGCCCCGCCCGCGAACAAGACGCGCGGATAGTGCACGCGACGACTCCGAAGTACACTCCACCACCACAGAACCGCCCCCGCCGTCGGCATGCGCCGGCGCACCCGCCCCCTCAGCTCTCGCCAGACCACGAGCGTTACGCTCGCGTAACGACGCTGCAGAGCCTGTGCGCTCCGTGCGCGATCAAGGAGCCTGCAAGCGCACGCGGTGCGGTGACGACGGTGGCGGTGGCGCGAGTAAGACCGCGCGGCTGGCCCCTGAGCGCTGCGCGCGGGCGCTGGGCAAGCGAGCGACGGGCCCGTGGGCGCCGGCACTAGCGCTACGTAACCGCTTGCGCCGACGGTTGGCTAAGTAGCGCGGCTGAGCATAGCATTCCCGCGCTCTTGGTCCGATGTCGGATCCAAAGATGACTGCGTCGTATACGGTTGATTTTTCTGTTGTTGTTTTTTTATTATTTTTATCGCCGTCTCGGGAGTCGCCGCAGGCGGCGGCTAGGCAATAGGTAGTTCACTGAGTTGGGTGACTCTGTCCGTGGACCGCTCGGGGCGGCCACAACCACGGTGCCTCGCCGGGGTCGCTGGTCGCCGTCGACGTTAAACAATAGTACAAAGGTATATTCTATATTTAACGTGTAAGTATCCGTGTGGACCAGGAGGATTTTATTAGCCCTAGTAGATATTTATTTTCTCTATATTTATAGCTTCTATCATAATGCATTTAACCGTAGGCGAAATGTGAATCTGATCTTCTTTGTTGAGACGTTGAGTCAGAGGCTACGTAGTAACTTTCAGATAGATAATCTGCCTTATAAAGCGAGAGTACAACATGTTAAAGTTTTTATAAATATTTTATAGGATCACATTTTTGAAACTCAAGTTTTAAGCAATAAAGCCTTCTCATCAGAGACTCAGTTGATGTAAAATTGCGAGTCACCATAGTATAATTGACTATATATAAGTATCACCCGAGCATGTGGCACTTTAGCTTTACACTGCAGTATTTGATGTAATAGAGTGATATCCGTTTATAAATACACTACATTTTAGACAAATACAAATTTTGACTACTTGTTAATATACTGATAGTATACATATTTATATAAATTCTTTATTATATTACCTAATCGGAACTATACCAAGAGTGCTTTCTCGAAATATAACGTTAATTAAGAGTGCTATAACTAATTATTATGGAATAATTATGTACAGACAAATTTATTGTACAGTTAACACCAAAATTATTTGTTTAAATTGTGCTAATATGTATTTTATATGAAAAATTAGCTAGATATTGGTGAAGTTATTCTTTTCGGAAAAGAATTGTTTTATGTACTTCCTAATTAGGCTTTATTGATTTTGGGACACCCTGCTGATTGTTGTTACTCGTGCCGGTATAGTTAATTGTGACAGAGCTCAAACGAGCGACAGTAAGTTTGTGTACACTGCGAACATATCTGTAGCATTAAATAGTTGTAGAAACACACAAAAGTGTAGCACGACATTTCTGTTAATGATAAGTTGTTGGTGCATGAACACATTTTAGTTTATTCGTTCATCGATCTCTCCTCATAGTTATCCATTTGTTAAATATTCTTACACTATCCATCTCCACTTTAAATTTAATTATCGAAATAATGTGATTATGAAACCATTGATTTATTTAAAAACCAAAAAAGGTTTTGCGTGAATGCTACTTTGTTGACACTGTAAAATATTATGGAAATATTTTTTTAAAGGCGACATAGATGATTTGAATAGATGTACCTAAGAATGGACTGAAGATGTAATGTTAAGTTAAGAGTCCAAGTTATGTACATATTAATATAAATAAATAAAAGTAATAGTGCCTCATTTGTTACCGATTTAACAAATACATAGGTAAAAGTGTTCTTTCATATATTGAGATATGTATTTTTATTGAAAATAAATTTATGCATTGTAATTTAGCTGTAAAAGAGGATTTAATATAATTTGTTAAGCTAATTGTGTAAAGATTTTTAAGATTGGCAGTCTGTCGCTTATATCGCGAAATCAAGAAGTTTTGTTTAGTTACTGAGTTATGTTTGCGAGAGCAGTTATAGTGCTGTAAGGGACAGAGTGTCAACACGTGAAAAATTGGTAACAATTTTGTAACTTGGAGGGTATCAATGCCTTGGTGATGTGGCCGTAATCAAACCACTGGGATTATGGCAAATAAATTGCTAACAATTTAGATTGAGATGCTAAAACAAATGTTATTACTATACATACTTGAAAGTAAAAGGATTATTGTAGATTTTATTTTTTGATTTAAATAAAGTTTGTATGAAATAGATTTCTCGGATTTTTATTGTTATCTTAAACCTGAAAAATACTTCTAAGATGTCATGATGAAATCTGGATATACTACTCTCAACTCTGTCAAGAAAGTACCGGGAAAAAGTCAATAATACACAAAATGTTTGTTATTCATCTAAATTTATTTTATCACCTTCAAAGTATGCTCCTTCAGAAACGATACACTTACGCCAACGAATAGTCCAATCATCGAAACTTTTTTTAAACGCTATTTCCGGAATACGGTAGTTTCCAACTAGTCAAATTCAATACTTTTTTCGATACTTTTCTATGAAATTTGTATGAAAAACTGATCTATGACGTCATAACATTTTTGCGTCAAATAGCATACTTATTTCACAATAATTAGCTTAAAATATCTAAAACTTGGTGTATCGATCGATCGATGAATAAAAGTATAGTTATTTTTCAATATTTTATTGTATTGAAACATCCTATTAATTTATTTTTGACCTAGGAAACTACCCAATTGAGTTCAGTGCTCGCCGCGAATTCTCCTTTATGTCTTCTAACGATTGAAAACGGGTGCCACGAAGGGGTAATTTGAGTGTGGGAAAAAGAAAGAAGTCGGCTGGAGCCATATCTGTTGAACATGGTGGCTGCTCGATGGTGTCTGTTGAGTGTTTGGACAAAAATTCGTTTACAATGATGGCCTTGTGCGAAGGCGCATTATCGTGATGCAAAATCCAAGAATTTTCTTTCCACATTTCTGGCCTTTCTCGTCGAATTTGTTCTCTTAAACGCCGCATAACGCTCAAAAATATTCTTTATTTACCATTTGACCTTCGGGCAAGAATTCTGAGTGCACAACACCGCGATAGTCAAAGAAAACAGTCAACATGGCTTTGACTTTTGATCGACTTTGACGTGGTTTTTTCGGTTTTGGTTCAGTTGGAAGGCGCCATTCCGAAGCTTGTTGACTAGTTTGCATGTCAAACTCGTAAACCCACGTCTCGTCACCAGTAACAATGCGTTTCATGAATGTTGGGTCGGTATTGACTCGTTCTAGCATGTCCTCAGCGACTTTCATGCGATTTAGTTTTTGAAGAAAATTCAGGTCTTTTGGGACTAGCCGAGCGGCAACACGTTTCATACCCAAATTATTTGTTAAAATGGTACGGATCGACTCGTGAGATACAGAAAGTTTGGCGGCCATCTCTCTCAAACTTGAATGAGGATTTTCAGTCCTTCACTTTTGCGATGTTAACTTCAGTTGCAGACGTTGATGGCCTACCAGAACGAGGCAAATCTTCCATCACATCTCGACCGCTTTTGAACGCTTTGTACCACTCATAAGCACGTGTTTTTGATAAAGTCGATTCACCGTAAGCCTTCTGTAACATTTTGAGTGCCTCCGAAGACGAAATTTCATTGGCGATGCAAAATTTAAGACAAACTCTTTGTTTGATGTTTTTGTTCATTATGAAATTCGCAATACACACTAGATATTATAAAACTAAAAACAGCACTGTTTTTAATATAAATAACAGAAGCAACTCAAATTCCGCGCCAAAATGGAAAACAGTTATGCCAATCTAACAACAACAAAAAAAAAATTAAATTCGAATTGGGAACCATAAAAAAAACATTCATTCCCAATGATGTATAAAACTATAGATACGTTGTCCGCGCTCTAAAATGACAACATGAAATGAAGGCAATTGACCACATCGCGCTTAGTTACGCACAAACCTGCCACGCGACGCTACGTTTGTTTTTAATTTATATCGTGTGTAAACTTGTTTGAAACATAAAGAAAGCATGTCGTCGTGTGTGTTCAGACGATGTACAAATTATACTCCAAAAGTTAAAGACAAAAATGTGTCATTTCATGCGTAAGTTCACCAAACAACCTATTTTTATTTTATTTTTTTCGACGCCGGCGCCCGCCATCTTATGGCGGCCGGCGCATGAAGTTATAGTCACGTGACGTCGGCATAACTGAAGATGTATATTTATCTCCCTCTAGCAAAGGCATTCCACTATACGATGTCATATTTTCTTTCCCTTTCTTTACTCGTAGAAGTAGTTATCTAGTATTTTCGCCGTTTTTAAGCGCCGCGATGTTGGTTCATGACGTGTCTATATATAATACGTCATTGTTCATTCCCGATACTTTGTTGACTGAATGTATAATTCCGAATTATATGTTTGTTATTGATTATCCGGCTTGGGTGAGTATATCGAGTTCTTCATGTAAACATATGCTTTTGCTCAGCACTTAAAAGCTAATACGAATTAAGAAAATATATTTTGTAGTCAATGATTCAGAAATTAAATAAAAATAAACATTTAAAAAGTTAATTTCTAATAATTGTAGGTACCTACCTATACCTACATATAATCTGAACGTATGGCGGAATTCGATCGAAGATTCCGGTAGCAGTAATTTGCAATGTCTGTTTTAATTCTTTTAAGGGGAAAGGGATAGAGTTCGATAGAAATAGTTTGAAACGATAATATACGGCGCTTTATTTATATAGATAAAACTAACTAAGTACTAGTACCAATATAAGTACTAGTAGTAGTATAAATTGAAGTTAATAAATATTTTTTAATAAAATATTCGTTTAATTCATAGTTAGGTACTCACTTCTTTAAGTAGGTATACTAGGTATTATAAAATTAATATTTAATCGTAATAGTCGGAATAAATAGAGCGGACGAATTCCTGGGGTGTTGAAACAGTACCTATCGTATGTAGGTACGTAATAGATAACTATTGCTTGATTCGCAATTACGATAAAAAATTACATACTTAATGTATCAAATATCAATTTATTCGTTAACAATACATGTATCCAGTTTTTTTTAATACCTGAAATGTAAATAAACCCTTTCAAAGTACCTACTTTATACTATAGCCAAATATCTTAAAACGCAAACTTGCAAACACAAATCATAATATTCTACAATAACGACAGTAACACGTTCAAAATAACTGTTTCATACCCCAGGTAGTTTTTACGCAGCGGCCGACGAATGCGGAAGCTATCGGTCCAGATGCATCGTCCCCTAACATGAATGGCTACAAACCCGCCCTATTTTTATTCACACCACTGTCAAACGGTGCGCTCCCGCTCACCCTACTATTTCAACTCGGCTAGGTTATAGTTTCGGCGCGCGTTCTAGCGTCCTGCCGTGCTCCCTACTCGCCGGTCGTCGTCAGTTACGCGACGAACGTAATAAGTGTCGCATCTGTTTATTTACCGCAACTCCGTTAAAATGTGACTTTTGTTTTAAAAAGTGGAAATAAATACCAGTAATGCTGTAGTGAAGTGACGTTATCAGTTTTAAATTTTGTAAGTTCGTTTCCGGCGTATTTATCGTAATATTGACGTGAAAAAACGCGGGAATTTGGCCTATCAGCAGTGCAGTGCGTTTAGTTTATCGATCGTGTTTTGTTTGGTTCTGTTCTTACTGCATTGGTGTATTTAAATAATACGAAATGCAGTTGTTTACCTCTTTATCTATGCTTTCTAGTAATTTATTACGCTGTGTGTTCGTCGAATCGAAGCTATTATTAGCGCTAGGGTTAATAGTTATCGATCGGAGATGACATTATAAACATCTTGACGGAATCAGGGTCACTCAAGGCTGACATACACATGTCGCCGGTTTTCAAAATTTTGATCACGTTCACAACCGGATCCGAATAAATAAACATTGTTAATAGTATTAAAAAATAGCAAACTCACATTCCTTATGTTACCTAACAGGCTCTGCTAGTTTTTTTTATCCCTACCGGAGATTTCGGCAATATGTTATTTGCTGTTTGCGGCAGTTATTGAATAGTTTTTGCGGCAGTGGTTAGAATAACGATATTCGTTAGATAATGATCTCTTGAATAGGTAATAAGTTAATAAGACGAAGTGCTCTGTAAATTGAAGCAGAAACATACTTTGGAAACAAGCCAAGAATTTCATATACTTACTTAGATATCGATCGACGAAAAATGTACTAGCCATAACTTTAAGCTCGTTACATTGGTCCATCGATTACCTACATTGGTACATTCTTTCGTTTCAAAACAACAACACAGTATAATGCTCAGTGTTTGTTTACAAAACATCGAGTGTTTTTTTTCTTATGGAATTGACTGTCTCCCAAGCGCGATTATACATCTTACAAAAGTATCATCTGTTGAGATCTGACGGACAATGCATCCATGTTAGTTCACGGTCTACATACTTTAAATGACGCAAATGTAACCCAACACGTGGCCAGCATTGCCTACTATCAAGTACTTGCAAGCACTGGTTTAGGTACAAATTTTATTTATATTTATTTGAATAATTAATATACCCAGGTATGAAAATAAAACTTTTAGATAAACTCCAACTCGCCTTTCAAACTGGATTTTTTTGACAAACCTCTTTTTATGTAGACCTATCAAAGTTCCAGTCCAAATTATCAATCTGATCTTCAGTCTCATTGACTGGTTGTAATCAAATATAACAATTTCGATAACGACCTTTTACATAGAATTTAAAATAATTAAATTATCCTAAACATCGTCGATAAGATTAATTAGGTGATCTTAATTAATTAAACGATATGTTTTGCAATCTGGTTCATTGATAGGTCTGTTTTTATTTGATAAGGCTGCTTGTTAATGGCAATCTGAGTATGAGCTAGCCTCAGGCTGCAGTTTGAGCTAAAACTATCAAAAATATACTTTACGTCGGTACTTACGACGCCCATCTGCCAACTGCCAATAGGGTGGTGTAACCACAAATTTGTTTTTGCGGTTATTACACGTCTCCACTGGCGCCTATCCAAGAACCTACCTAAGAAGGAAGAACCCTTATTTTTACCTGGATAGGGCGAAAAGTACCTAAACAACCTATTCCTTCTTATGTTCCGAGCCGAGCGGCGGTACATTATTTCACTCATTACACTCGCAACCCCGGCTGGACATCGGCCCTAGTATGTCCCACCTTTGGTAGTCCAAAGACTCTTTGAGGTGCAGACTGC